ACCAACCATAAATTACGGGAGGGGAGAGTGAACCCCCAAAACCCTCCCCTATATACGCCACCGTGTACGAGATATTATGACATGAATTTTTTTCTGTCTGTATAAATAACTTTTCCAAAAGAAATTTTGCTCCAATATATAGAGTGTAGTACTTTTTCTTAATGGAAATCTTGTCTATTTGGTGCATTAATACCGTCGTTTTTTTGATTTTTCAAGAGGTTTTTGAAATAAATAGGAAAAACCAAAATAAATTTTGGGTGAATCGGCAAATATTTACGGTAGCTGCGGCGTTACCGATTTCATTGTTTTAAAAAATGTATTAGTTTTACATTTACAAAGATGTTTGTTATTATTTTTTTTTTTTATGTGAAAACTGTTCTTACCAGAAAGCTCACTCCGTTGTATATGATCTAGACCTTTTTCTGAAAGGAAATTTTCTTTGGATGGTACTTTAGGGAGGTTATTTTTCGATTTACCCAAGAGTTTTCCCAGCAAATGTGAAAAGCCGGGAAAAAATGGAAAATCGATACAATTCCAAACAAATATTATAACAGCAAATATATAATGACTATTCAATTATTTTACCAAAATATGACACATATATTGTTGCATCACTATCAACTGAACTCAGCTCAGAATCGTTTTTCCGTTAATAATGGTTTATAGTTGATTAGAGGTATAAATGAAAAAACTTTATGTATCCCATCTTCCCGGCTATAACAGTGACCGCGCCCTACTGGGCGCCAGTATCAATTCTTTTTCTTACTTTAATATTTCATTTTTTGGATGAACCACTGACCCACTGATCGCCACCCAATTATTGACGGCAGGGCGTCTGCTCCTCTTAGGTTCATATAGGTTCGGCGTCACTGCTTATTCCAGAAAAAAGGCTGCTAGTCAGTCAGTATTTTATTTCAAAACATATTTTTTCTGTTATAAGATCTCCAGTTTTTCTTATAAAAAAGACAGTCATATCGAATTCATATAAAACATACAAATATACACGTGTGTATCATTCAGATAAAAATAACAAAAAAAATTATCAATTTATATGTTTGCAATATAAATTATTAATAACATTTTAATGTGTATGTATATGTGTGCGTGTGTGTGTTTTAATAGATTTATATATTATCTATACTCGACATATTTTGCAATAATGAGTAAAATACACCTATATATATATACATACAGAGTGATTCAGATTTTTAGAATTTTTCAGTTAAGCGTAGTTAAAGCCGATATTTTCGAATACTATATTTTTCACAACATTTAAGGAGTAACCTTTGGCGATAGCAATTTCGGTTTTTGAAATGAGCACCTACATTAAAAATTCCATTAAACAGACGGCGAGTATTACTATAAACAAATGTTGGTGTCGACATTTTCGATTTCCATCAACTCGTTGACGAGATATTTCGCTCTTGAGTTTTTAGCTAAGGGAAGAGTCGTAGTGGAACGCTAATAAAACGCCGCGCGCCGAGCCGCCACACAAATGATACTCTTCTCTCATCCTACCAAAACTTAAAAGCGGAATATCTCATAAACAAGTTTATGGAAATCGTAAATGTTGACACCGACATTTATTTAAAGCAATACTCGCCGTCTGTTTAATGACATTTTTAATGTGGGTGCTCATTTAAAAAACCAAAATTGCTATCGCCGCAGCTAGGTTACTCCATAAATATTGTGAAAACTCTAGGTATTCGAAAACATCGGCTTTAACTACACTTGAAAATTCCAAAAATCAGAATTTGTACGTACGCAAAATATAAACAAAAAAGTGGGTTGAGCACTCGTAGTGAATCATCCTGTATATAAAATATACAATACACTTATCGCGGTTTGTATTGATTTTCGTCTGTAATACACGAAGATTTGAAACTAGTAAAATGAATAGCGGGGGAAAAAAAAAGTTATTATAACTATACGTATATACCTAGCTAGTCTTACGAAATCGATACGGGAAAACGTATATTTAAATATTATATTATAATTAATATTTCATAGATATATTTTACACTCCTCGTCCCGTTTCTGCACACTTCAGCCGGCTACTCGAGATCATTGAGGTTATATACTCGTCGGCTAGCCGCCACTACGTAGATGCCGACTAGTTTTTTTTCGGAGACCGTGTCCGTCCGATGTTACAATATTACGACGTGGACAATCATCGGGACGAGCTAACGGGGGCGGTTTTGAAAAACGCACACAATGCACACACGTTTGCGGTGAGCTCGGAGTGTATCCGGGAGACCTATCACTCTATCGCTTCTCCCCCGTCCACGCGGGACGCGACGGATTAGTGTATAAATCTAATTAAGAAACGAAAAAACTACGCGCGCCCGTCGGAGTTTCGTATGTTGAAGGACTCGCATTGCGCCGCCGTCGTGTGGGTTACACGTTGTTAACCTGCCTGCGTGGTTATATCGGTACGCCACAAATCAGTACCCAATAAAACGATATAAGTAATAATCATAACGGCGTGATAAACGCGTACGTCGCGTAAAATTATCGGGGATAAAAATAAATCTGCGTTATTGCGTGTGCGAAAAAACGCGGTGAAATTATCAAATATATTCCGACCGAAACCGCTACTATATTACCGTGTAGGTGTGCGGGTATCGTGCGCGGTCGAGGATCAATGCGTTTTACGCGGGCGCGGTCCGGACGGATCTGACGCCACACAGTGATAACGGCACGTAGTAATCGTTACACACGCCCGTGGAAATAAAATCAGGATTGCCACCAGCGCGTTGTACTTAAAATAATGGTGGATAAAGTGACTAAAATTTATGATGAAAAAAAAGAAAAGTGACTGAAAAGTAACTTACGTAAATATATCATTTTAAAACGAGTTTCATAAGTATAGGCATTCATAAGCATTCAATAAGCATTCATACATAGGTCATTATGATTTCGCACAAGATGCATTTCGCATTCGTATAATTTGTATTGGGCATAGCCACGGAATTCTAGCGAGATGAAAACATACCCATTTTTAAATGTAGGTAGAATAGATGGACGCTTGCAATAATATTAAATTGCAGGTATAGGTGCAATGTACCAACTCAAAGAATTGATTATTTTTCATTTTGACAAAATTGAAAAAATTGATTCTCGGTGACATAATGCGTTAACAGAATATATTATTAATCACTCAAATAACGAAAAATACCTACAAAGGTTACGAGATTGCATTCGGTTGACCGAACTAGCATTTATATTTATTTATAGCCATGTAAACGCCGGGATCGCCCAACGCGTTTACATTAGGTATCCGTATGAAAAGTCTGCGGTGAAAAGACGCGAAATAAAATTTGTATCCAGTGAACGTTCGAAACATTCGTTTTCGTATTAATTCGAGACGAGTGCCGAACATTTGCGTTTATTGGCCAGAGTGCAGTGGTTCACTGGGCAGCCGTTCGTTTGTCGTTGTCGGCTCTAGCACGAGGAATTTATTATCTATGGGAAAAACACCTTGATGCCACGACTCTCGGACGGCGCGACGTGGTTTTTCATGCAACCGTGGCCGGCCGTCTGCGGATTATGTTTCGATACGGACGGCCCATAGACAATATGAGTCATAATCTTATATTATTTATGGAACGACCGGGATTTTTCACAAATATCTATACTGTAACGGGTAGTATAGACATTGCGGTGGGATTTTTCAAGATATTATGATAACATTATGAAATCAACAGTACCGTGGTTATGGCTTACGATAGTTACGTAACATTAATAACGAGCGAGTTGTTATCAATATTTAAATTGAGATAAAAAACAAATTTAATTAATTCATGTGTTGGAAGTCCGCATTAAAACCGTAGGCAATTAATATTGTGGTCATTGATGAAAATCGATAAACGCGGTTTAAAATTCGGTACACGCATTCGTAAAACAGGACACGCGTTAATATTGAATCTACACGTTTATTACCGAACGGCCCCCGACAATCGAAGTCCAGACGATTCGCACAATACTTACGAACGATATTGTTCCGTTGGATAATTGCTCGCTAAAAAAAATGTCTTGCCAATATTTCAGTCCTTTGCTTGTCAATTCGACTTTTTTTTCTACGTATATCTATATAATAGTATGGAGAGGGGCCTGTCCGACCGTGGCACCGTGCCCCGAGGACGGCCCTATACTACCAGCGCCAAGGGCCGTTATCACGGACGCTTTCGTTTGTCTGGTTTTCTAAACCGAGTTTACGGCCGATAACCTCTCGGCGATCGGTCGGTTATTATCTTATAAACTGCGTTTGAAAATCAACGCGTTCATGTCGGCGAGAACGGCCAGTGGCGTACCTAGGCCCCTCTTACGGGGGAGGGGGGGGACAAAATATATTTTCACCTATTCTCAAAATAGACAATTTCTTAAAAAATTAAAAAACAACAATGCACACATATAGTTACATATAATTAATAATTATACGACCCATGGGGGGGGAAGAATGCCTCCTTCCCTCCCACAGGTACGCCACTGAGGACGGCCCTAAATGGTATTTCGCGATAAATGTTTACCTCGAAATCGGGTCGGCGTAACCGAATATTATGGAGCGCATAATCGAACATTACGCACCATTATCGCGGCGGTTCGGCCGAGATTCGTGGTTATTGACGTAGACGTATTATATAAGTGCGTTACCTACAATTTTGTGCGACTCTGAAATTCCGCGCGTTCCGAGTCCGGTCACCGGTGGTGAAAACAATAAAAATACGGTAATACGAATGATTATGACAATGAGTACTGTCCGATAATTATCGTTTTGTTGGACGATGGGCGGTGGTGAAAAAAAAAAATTTATAAAAACGTCGCGACGAAATATTATGACGACCGCGGCGGCGAGTTTGGGTGTGGACGGTTTTGAATTTGGCGCGCTGTCCGCGGTCGGCCGTCGTCGCCGGTCGCCGCCGGCCCGCGGCCATTTTGATGCCGAACAGCATTTTGCAGTCCACAGCTCTCGGTCGCTGATGCCGCCGCCGCCAGTCACCGCCACCGCAACCGGCCACCAGTACCCACCACTCCGACGAATCGTACCGTGGCCCGCGATCGTTTTACTACGTTGTTCGTCACGGTTTTTTTTTCGTCCGCTTGATCGTCAGCCGTCGTTAGTTACTGGTTTCGTAACTGGCCGTGTACATAGTCTCTCGTCATTTTTATCATCGCTAAACGCGTCCAACACCGCCAGCACTACATACACTCACTCGCACGCTCTCGCCCGATTGGATTTTTCTATTTTCCACGCGTCCGCGGGACCGATCGAACGCCGCCGCCGCCGCTCATTTCTCCTCGCTGTGTTCAATCGTTTTAATTCCGTTTTTATTTTATTATTTTACGTTTTTTTTTTTAAAAAAAACTTTCGTTTTTAAACCGTCGACGATCTTGTGATAGAAAAATGAGTTCCGCAGATGCAAATCCGATTTACGGGCCGTTCTTCGGCGTCATGGGCGCGGCATCGGCTATCATATTCAGCGGTAAGCATCTCACCATCGTCCCGTCATCGCGCACGGTGTTTGGTTTTCGTTATATTTATTCAAAATATATTATAAATGGTCGTTTGGCCGCGGCGCGTTAGTAAGTACCCGCCGACTTGCGGTTTTTTTCGCCCGCCGACCGAACGTCGTCTGTTGTACGCATGGCTGTCGCCTTATCGATTTATTCGGCGGCGGTGGTTGTGGCGACCGCTGCCATTGTACGGGCGGCGCGTTTTCCGCGGAAAAATCGCTGCTTGGACGGGGCCGAAAGACGAATATCGACGCCCGCCACACCCAGATGCCGTCGCAACCATCGGTCAAAACGCAGCGATAAGATACTGCGGTGCCGTCGGATTTTTGCTCTAGCGTTTCATTGCCTAACAATGGACGGCCGTTTTATACGCCCGGGATTTCGGGCGGGTCCCGGCAATTGTAAAAACATTTTCTAGCCACTTTAGAGAGAGCGCGCGCGCACGCATTCCCTAGTTGTTTTCGATTTAGGCGTGGTCTGCCGGTGATAACCGCCGAAAACAATTTAATTTCGATAACAATGTTCTTATTACCCTACGGATTTCTATATTATTATTATCATCCGTTTCCGTTCCTGTTTTCCCGAGGCCTTGCCTGTGTGGTGTTCTCCCCGGGGCCGACCCTTACCCGTCGGTATCGGTTTGTCGACGTTGAAAATAAACTGTAAACATTTAGGGCGGTCCGCCTCCGAAGATGTGTACTCGAGACGATAAATCGGCATTACCGTCACGTGTACCCGCCCGAAAACAATGACGTTTTTTCCCCTCAAAGTGGCAATTTCTCGGCAGCAACCTGTTCGCGTGTTTCCGCTGTCCTACATTATTATTATTATTATTATTATGGCATACACTCACGACACACATGGGCGTGCCCCATGCGAGTTTTTCGAAAACTCGTCTATCTGTATTCTGTGTTGTGCTCCGGCCCGCTCTCTATTCCGTGTGTACACGGCGCCGACTTTTGCTACGGATTTCACCCCGAGACCGTTTTTAATTTTACTTTTTTCGAGAGAGCATTTCGTTCAATTTTCTTTTAATAATCAATCACAAAACACGACATGATGGGCGCGGTGCCTGAAGGTCGTTTATTCGGTTTTGATCCCGACTGACTTATCTCCCCTCTCGCCAAAGCCGCACGCCCAAGGATCCTCCTCATGTGGCCCGAATGCCTGACACGGTTTGAATGTTTCCGATTTTCCTTTCGTGGTTTTTCGAAAATCTTCATAATCCTGTGTAATAAATTTAATATTAGACTATTTTTCTTTTAACTTTGTTCAATAACTAATTGCTTATCTCCTAATCGTTGATAATTTTAATTTTCATTGTGTTTTTTATTTGAGATAAACATTTTGGTATTTGGTACAATGGCCTAAACAGTTACGACTGAAAGAAATATAACTTACCAAAAGTATTTTCTGGTAATGGATTTTTTTTACACATTTTTAAAATTGAAGATTTTCATGAGCCGCACCCTTTTTTAAATTACCTATGAATATGTCAAAACAACGCTTTTTAATTTAACAAAATATGTTTAGTAATATAATTCTCAAGATTCCAAACAAATCTTTAACTACCTAGTACATGTAGCTACCTATCTATCTATTGTTTTTTTTTTTTTTTAACTGTATAACTATGTACTTGACCTTATTTTGTAAATGAACAGTATCAATATAAGTCATTGCTTTAAATGTAAAATTATATCAAGTTATATCAATCGCATTGAGTGTTGGTTGTAAAAATGTTCTGTAGCGATCCACAAGACCTGTAATTTATTTACAAACTGTTTTTTATGTACTCTTGTCTTACAATGATAATTATTGACATTTCTTCTGTAATAACTAATAAGTAATTTGTACATCACCACCGACATATAATTTGTTATACCTAAATCATTTATAAGAATTTTTAGTTTGATTTTTAAATTTGTGGTATAATTGCAATAAAAGCTATAATAAATTTGTTGATCACTACTAGTTAAAAAATAAAAATACATTTTCAACTGTCACAACGAAACAAATGTTACATTTAATACCCCTAACCTAATTAATTAATTAAAATTTAAAAAACAGTTAATTTACAGTTAACAAATTAGAAGTGCTTTATTAAATGAATATTCTATTATAAATGTAAACAAACAAAAGCTAATAAAAAAATATAGGTGCAGCAAATACCACTGAGTTGTTAGTTGGTTTATAGCAACGTGATTGATAATTTCCATCATAAATTAAGCAATGATTTTTAAGTTAAATAAACATCAATATAAGCCAAATTACCTTCTAAACCATTTGTTTAGTAAAATATGAAGCATTTATTTTTTTTTTTTTTTTTTTTAAAAACTGATTATTTAAAAAATAAAACAACATTATTTAAAGTAGGTAATAATCATATAATTTATGTATGATACAAAATATGGTTTTACCTTGCTATAAAATGGAAAAATTAATACATTTTATATAAATTAGTTACAGGTATATATTAGGTCAATTTTTATTCATATAAATCATGCAAGTAGTAAATTAAAGATTTTATACATTCTTAAAAATTCATTATTTTATCTCATTTTAATGGCACATGCTAAAATTAATTTTATTATTAATTTAATAATGAATATGTAGGCATCTGTTTTTTATGTTGTACAATTAGATTATAGTGTTATGTTAATGATTTTATGTATTGAGTCTGGAATGTATATGCAGTTATTACAGTAAACTCGCATCTAGTTTTTTTTTGAATTTGATGCAGGATATTAAGCAATAATCTTGTGTGCAATTAGTTTTATTACCTATAATGTATTACTTTTTACATATACCTACAATTTATGTATGGTATACTGCAAACCTAAAATACAAAAGAAAAATATTATTGTATTGATATTGTATTGTATGTTACACCTTACAGTAGATAAAACATCTATGACCACATTGCAGAGTCAAAATACTCAATCATGATTGATGAACTAAATTGCTATATACCATAACCTATTGGTTTATTTATTGAATACTAATTAAATTTTTTTTTCTCAGCTCTTGGTGCTGCATATGGGACAGCCAAATCAGGAACCGGTATTGCTGCTATGTCAGTAATGAGGCCTGAACTGATTATGAAATCCATTATTCCTGTTGTCATGGCTGGTATTATTGCTATATATGGTCTTGTAGTAGCTGTCCTAATAGCAGGTGCTCTGGAAGAGCCCTCTAAATATTCTCTTTACAAGTAAATCAATAAATATATATTATGAATAAATGTCTCTATACTTTTTTTCTAATAAAAGCGTACCTGTCTGCATACAAAAACCTTTCAAATTTGTACATGTTTCCCCTCTACAGGCAGTTTGTGCCACTCTATATTCCATACATGTAGCTGACCAAGCTAGGGGGTCCATACATCTTTTTGCAGCCCATTTGTATCTGTTAAAGCAGTATGCTCTTATTTGGAATATAGAAATTATGAAAAACCCAAATTAATTATAATTGAGATATGTTGTAACGTAATTAATATAATAAGTAAACAAATTCTTTATTTTGTTTATTAATTTGTTCAATTAAAATCGTATGTGATCTATTTACATGTTAATAAATATGTCTACACTTTCTTGGTACTCTATAAATATTAACTGTACTGAATGAAGTAGCAGTGACATTAGTGCAAAACTTAAGGGTACAACAACTGTATTCCTACCCACTCCTCAAAACAGCCTAAAACATTTAAGAGTAATGGCTATTATAGTGTATATATGTCATCTCCCACACTATAATTCGTAATAAATTAATGAAGTATGTCCAGTTTAAATTATTCTTTTGTTTTCTTATAGGGGATTCATTCATCTTGGTGCTGGCCTATCTGTAGGTTTCAGTGGTTTGGCTGCCGGTTTCGCAATTGGTATTGTTGGCGATGCTGGTGTCAGAGGGACAGCCCAACAGCCCAGATTATTCGTAGGAATGATCTTGATCCTAATTTTCGCAGAAGTATTGGGATTGTATGGACTGATTGTTGCAATTTACCTATACACTAAATAAAAAATTTGCCCCTTGAATAAATATTTAAAAAAAACAAACAAATTTTTTGTTTAAAAAAAAAAAAAAAAAAGTGAAACACCCAAATGATGCCAGTCGTCAATACAAACAATATTCTATAAAAACCATATTGTAAACATTTTAGTTGAAAGGATATTACAATAACAATATTTTGTATCCTTGCATCACTCACCTAAATGTAGTTATATGTTTTCTTCCTTTCCTGCTTCAAGACCATATTTCCATTCATGTAGAAAAATAAGTAATACTATCTTCAAAAACTATTTTAAATACATATATTTAAATAAAATAAAATTATGGCCATTTTCATGTATCAAACGTTATATTTGTGTTTTATTATTATTATTATTATTAATATTTTTTTTATGTTTCAATGAGTTATTATTTAATATTGTTCCCCCTCTCATTTTTAAATGTTACTTAACTTAGAGGGGACTGCCCTCAAATATTAAGAACTCTATGTGATGTGATGCAATCTTAACTTAGCCAAGTGTGCGATTGTTTTCCATCTATTTGAGTAACACACTAATAATAAATAATAATAATAATAATTTACCTAATTATTAATAATACAGTTCAGCACAAATTTTGTAGCTATTATAGTTTGATATAAATCCATAGTTAAAGAAAGTATTATTATTGTTTTTTTTTTTTTCTCTCTCGTTTTTTCTACATTGTAAAATAACAACAGGCTTGCATGGTTACTGGTTAGTTTAAATTTTATAATAGAACTTAATTGAGAGTATAAATTTAAAAAAACCTATTAGTGTTTTTAATAAATATTTTAAGTGAGCATACGGCTAAGACGTGTTAAAACATTCCAATGTATTTATAATTTAATCATATATTCCGATGGAAGTATATTAATTACTTAGGTATACCGTATATAATATATATCTATATATATATATATATATATATATATTTAAAAATCTGCCATTAAATTTGTTAGTTCAAAAAGTTATTATTAACTGTATCCTGTCAAATAATACATTTGTTTATTTTTCATTCATATCAATCGCGTATTTATTGTTTCTCATCATTATCAAATTATTCGTTCTATTATGTAACTGTTAAAAAAAAAAAACCACTATTTATTTTATTATAGTTGTGTATAAATTATGTGGTTAACTTTTGTTTTAATTTAATTTTAATATATTCATAATATATATATATATATTTTTTTTTTTGGTTATTTAGTAGACACTTAATGCAGTAAACTCGATTTATTTTCCATTGTTTTAGTCGTTTTTAAAAGTTTTAAGTCTGTAATATATTATTACTTAGACTAAAAGGAAATTCTAAGGGAGTAAATTAAACCTATCTAATTTTCTATTCCTAATTTCCTAGGAATTTCAATTATATAGTAATAAAACAAAAATTGTTGTTAATCATTGCGTTTGTTTATTTATTTATTTAATTTCAACTTTTAAAAATAGTGTGAATTTATTTTGCTGTGACATGTATTATGGCAAATTCTTATATTGTGTTATGTATTTTCTAGTGATACTAGGGTACTCTTAAATCTTTGTTTGCAACTAGTATCAGTGGCACCCAAACTATAGTTAATGTGTTTTAAGTGATTCATTGTGTACTAATTGTCTAATTCCAAGTTTTGTAGTTCCAATATATTTGGTTTTTATAAAAAAAAAAGTCGCGGATAATCTTATTATACTCGGAATTGACTTTTTTACTATATATTATATTGTGTTGGGTATAAAGATTTAATTATTTTACTGAAAAGAGTAAAAAAAATTGATTGTATTTTTGAATAAGTATTTAATAATTTTCCCTATTAAAGTATTTAAGTTAAAAAACTAATTCCAATGTATCCTAGTCAAAACGGATAAATTATACACATCTGTTATCAAAATCATTCATGAACATTGTTGGTTTCTTTACTGATTAAAATAAAATATAATTTTAGAGTAATAACTACCTGTTCGGATTATTACTGAAATAAAAATCTGGATCTACCTACATCAAAATCCGCACTATGGATAGGCTACTATTGTAAGTAGGATTTTGTAGGGTACATTAGTTTATATTAAACCTAATGAAAGTAACTATACATCATTGCAATCAAATAACAATTCTGAACAGACTTCGCTTGTAGCCAAAAATGAAACTTATGTATTAACATTTTTCGCCAAATATTTTTTTTTTTTATGTTGGGAATTTCGACTATTTTTTTCAAATAAAATAAGTAGCTACCTTGGTGTTAGAAAAGAATACTTATTTTCTATTGCACTCATTGATCTTTAATTACAACATATTGGAGAGTAGGTATTTAATTTGACATGCAATTCGTCTTATAATTCTTATTTATAACTCAAATAATACTTTTTCATAGTATAAGGAATTCCTTATACTATGTAATTTAACAAAATAAGTAAGTGTTTATTATTGTTTACGTAAAAAATAAATATTAACATATAATTCAATTAATTTGGTGTGCGACTTGCAACTGACGCTGAGACTGTTCGGAACACCGATAAAATCGCGAATTATCGGTAATCTTTACATCTGTATTTAGAAGTGTTTCCCGTCCCATAGATTTTATTACCAATAGATATGAAATATATTTATTAGTTATTTTATGTATTGAGGATCGCTGATTCAGACGGTCGTCTTGAGGCGGAAGTACGCAAAACCTATACGTCGTCCAGTAATTTTAAACTACTTTGTAATACTCACGAGGACCGTCTTGTCCGTCCGACCGTGGTAATAAGTAATTAACTGATAACATACCAGATGGGGCAATTTTAATAACGAACGTTTCGTTCTGGTGACAGTCGCCTGTGTGTTGGGCTTATCGTAATAAAAGTTTTTAAACGAGCTGTATAAGTTTGATATGAATCGGATTTATAGATCGCGATAAAAAATAAAAATGCACATTATAGTATGTAAAACCAGTAATAATGTAGAAAATAAAATTATGGATATTCTGAGGTTCAACCCTTATACTACGGGTCTATAACAATACATAGTAAGTACCTAAATGGGTACTATCATTTTTTTAATAAATGTAGGTTACAAAACCTATTTTATGTGCTTAAGACTCATTGTTAGTAGGTAGTTTGGTCACATGTATCTGAGTCACGTATCATTACGTACTAATTATTCAATCCATCTACCTTTACAATTTTTACGGAGCGGTCGTTCCTCAAAAACGTTGTCAACACGCCACTGATTTGTATTAATTTTTGTATCCATCTTCCCGACTTCACACCAATACAACAGTGACGCACCCAGTATCAGTATTTTTTTTTTTTTTTTCTATTCCGATTAAACATCTATGTAGGTATATGATCTGCCTGCAGGTACACATGGAAATCACATTCCGTCGCGACAGTTTTGTATTTTTTTTTACACTGCGTCGAGCCCGTCCATTTTCTGTAGCCAGGAGCGGAGTGTGAACAAAATTCAGGCCGGGGGATTAAAATGTATCCCGGCCACTCGGTATAATACGTACCAAATGACATTTTTTCATTACGCTCGATTTCAGTATTTTAATTTGAACCCACAATATTAAATTTTCAATAATAATGTAATTTTTCATTAAAATAATTAATTTGTCCGTAAAAAAAAAAACAAAAACCGGTTAATTGTAAATTATTTTAATATGCACCCGGTTTACTGCAAGCCTTGTCAACCTATGATGGAGACTATAAAAGTTTTAAAGACCTTACACGGCGTCAAAAGTAAGTGTTACGTGACCCGAATGAAGGGCCTGGAAACCCTTCGTAGCGATATTGACAAGTTATATAGTATAATTATTTCATAAACCCTATATTATGGAGATTTCATAATACACATATAAAGAGCTGGTACTGTTGATAGATGCAACATTATTATAGATGAGAAGTCGGTACGGTAAAATACATACAATTATTTATTAGATTACGAGCATGGCGAAGGATCAACTGTGTTTTTTATTTTTTATCTATGAGGAACTTTTTTTTTTATCAGAAATCTTGCTCCATTCAAAAAGTAAATTTTTCGTTGCATTTTCGATCTAATTGGTGCATTGAGGAGGTAGTTTTTTTATTTTTCAAAATAATTGTGATAAACCAGAAAAAAACTAATATTTTGGGTGTGCCACGGCGTTACCGATTTCATTATTTTTAATGTGTACAATTTAACTTTTCTATCATAAATATTACCAATCCTATCTTAACTTACCCATCGAAAAATTTAAAGAGGTCTTTTTTGTTGTATTTAGTATCTAGTTAGTAAGTTAGAATGCCGTTTTTTTCAATTTTCGTGTAGTAAAACCAGAAAAATACGTAGAAAGAACAGGAAAGTTTACAGAAATAATGGTTTCATTATTTTTAATTTTGTTTATGTGTTTTAATTTAGAAAGAAAAAATACTATATTATACTCATTTTAATTGTTAACCAACCGTCATCAAGTACAATTTATGATGAACTTCGAGTTCGATTTTTAAGTATTTCTACTAAGCCAAAATAATTTTATCCACATAAAAATTAAACAAACTAAATAATTCCAAATGCCAAATGACTAGAATATTTTGAAAATTTTACCACATATAGCTAATTTAAACACTATAAAAATTTCAGTTCTTTACAATAATTTTAAACTGAATTACAAAAAAAAAAAATAGTTTATATTTTACATAAATAATATACATAGAAAAAATAAAATAAAAATTATGTATTATTATATAATTATATTTAATTTGTTTATAAATTAAAACTGCATGTATTATTAATAAACTTGAAAACACTTTATTCACTAATGGACATAATGATACATTTTATTGTAAAATGGAAGATTAAAAAAAAAAAAAATGTATTTTTCACCATCATTATTGCTGTACAACTTCATACTGTTGGATAATATTCATCTTGCATTAAAAACGACCACTAAAAATATTTAATTAAGGAAAGTGATATTAAATTATTTACATTAGTTTAAAACAATACAATGTAATTTAATTCAAATAAGTTACAGACAGGTAATAACCTGTCTGTAACATTTAACTATTAAATATATTAAATATTTAACTCAAACTAAGCAATTTTAAAAATAACAATTATTGTATTGTTATTATTTTTTGATTCATCAAAAGCTCTAAGTATACAGAGTGATTTTTTTTTATCATTGACCAGTAGTTATCTCATAGGATTTTAAGCCAATTCGCGATTTCTATTTTTTCTGGAATTGGAAACGATTCTATAATGATTAGAAAAAAACATAAATGAAATTTACTTAAAATTCTCAGAGATAATTGATGGTTCACAATAAAAAAAAAAATCGCACTGTATAAATACAGGTATATAAATATTATAAATTATACTATTTCATATTCTATTTTTTTTTTTCATAAATATATAATTCTAAATAAAGTTTTAGACTAAAATCTTTTATATTCTAGAAGATAAGGTGTTTTTAAAGCACAAATAATAAAAAGAAAAACACTGAGTATCACTTCAATGTTTACCATTTTATACAATTAAGTACCTAAACTGAATATTTTACTATTTACATTTGGTATTCTCAGTGCTATTATACAATTAATTATAATAATATTTTGTTTCACAAATGATAATCTGTATTTGATAATTGTGATACATACATTAATTATTTAAAATATTATAATTATATTTTGATTTAGAGAAATTCTTGTTTTATGACAACTTATTATTTTTATTAATTTTATATAACATTATTTACACGGCAACATTAAAGACTTAAATAATAGATCTCATTGTATTTAACATATATGAATTATTTTCATTTTTTTTTTTTTTTTAAATTTAATGTAGCTTTACTATTTACACATTTTGTTAAAATAATTATTATTTTAGAATATTCAATTTAAATAGGTGGGTGTTAATTATAAATCAACAATGTTAGGATAATCAAAAATGTGGAAATGATGATTATTAAAACATTTAAGGATTTGTTGTTTGTATTTAGAAAATTCCTAAAAAAATATGTTCAATAAAAAGTATTGAGTTTTTTAGAAAACTACACTGTATAAACATAACATGTGAATACAAAGTTAATTAATTACCAAACAATATATACACAATAAACACAAAGGCTGTGCTTTTGAAGAAAATAACTGGTGTAATTTAATTTCATAAATAGTTAGGTATCTATTTTATAATTTGTATGATTATATATTCTATACATTGATGAAGTAATTACATTCATAGGGCGATTTATGTTAGAAATAAATATTTAATGAACCTTTAAAAAGAAAATGTTAAAATATTTTACATCAATGAAAATAACTTCAAAGAAATCAATAACTTATAATTTATGTAAACCATAAAATATGTATAAAAAAAGCCAACCAATATAATACGATTAAACACATAATGGAAAACCATTGTTCATTTTGTGTGAACAAAATTTAATTTTTAATAATATATTACAACTTAGTATTTGTTAAAAGAAATACAAGCTAAATATTATAAAACTAGTTTTAAAACTTAGAAAATGAAATAATACAACCAATTTTGTTTCACACTTGTTTGGTATAAACAACAGAAAAAATGTAAAATAGATTTCAGAAATTTTAGATGTACACCAATTACCAAATCAAATAAAAATAGTAAAGCGAACAATGCATATACATTTTCTTAATAAATAAAAATATGGGCTTAGAATATAGTTTTAAAATTGAAATGAAAACAATTTTTATAATTTTTGTTCATAGCATAAAAATGTTTTGTTATAAAACAATTAATGAATATTTGACTAGGTTCTTTACTTCAGTATGTTGATAGCAAATTAACACCTACCTGCCTATTAAGAGAAAATTCATGTATTTGTTGTCTTACAAATACACAATATAGCAAACTTGCATTGTGACTTTTTCTTTAATTTTCTAATTTAAGTTTTAATATTAGAGTGAATTGACCAATTATTATTAAACTCAAAGGTAAAAACATTATTTGCATTTCTACTTAGTTTTATTTCGTGATATTTTAATTTTTAAGCGAGACATAAACATTTTTAAGTTGTGATATTTCACCACTGGTGGTTTCAGAGTGAGCAATAGGTGGATCACTGGGCCTGTATTTATGTTTATATACATAATCACTTTAATGAGTAGTGTACTTTTATTCGTTCCATGATGGATAATATATCACTTCTAAAGAAATGATATATTATCAAAATACTTATATTCTTTTAAATGATGAAAAAAAATAATAATAAAAGGGCGATAGACAAGATACTAGCTACTTTTTATTGATATTGCTCTTATGAGGTAAAGATATAAACTATAAATCATTATACCTACACTTTATAGTTTATGCTATAATGGTGTGTACCACATAAAAATTTGATGAATTTAATGGAGATCACGCATCAAAAATTATTAGGAAAAGTGAGTTGTAAATGTATAATACACATAATATTTTCGCTGCCTCTCCATCCTGTATTTCACATATATCTCATTTATAAGGTAAAATAACAAAAAGCCATAAACAAGAATAATGTTCTTTTCTTTAAGTTTGTTAATAGGACAATTCATTGTAGTATTAAAACAGCTCAAAACTAGTTCTGCTAAATTGTGCATTTGTAAGATGGAGACAACAAATGTTTGTGTGAATATCCTTTTAATGTATTGAATAGAATATTTATATTGTTTACTATTTAATTTAATTACCTAGTTTATTGTCAACTATAGTCTGATTTTTAAATATTATAGTACAAGCATCTCCATTACTATTATAACACAGTCATATTATTATTAATGTCAAAACCATGATTTTCAACATGAAAAGGATACATCTTTTTGTCCTTTTCTTGTACATGATTCGGTAACCACATTCTCTGCATCGAATAGGATCCTTTGGTTTCATCTCGTTTTCAGCTTGGCATGCTGTAGTCAAACAAACATACAACAAAAAATTAAGTAAATGTTTAATGTTATGTAGGTACAATATAAAGTTATAATTTATTATTTACCTCCACAAATATAAATTAGCGCTTTTTTTGGCGCATCATCCGGGGTTTCGTTTTCAGTGATCATCGTTAACAGTTATCGAGTTCTTCAGAAATACCAAAAAAAAACCGACTTTTTTGTTAATTTGTTAGAATATTTCAGATTAGTTATCAGTGATAAGTTATCACCAATTATCAGCACGTGCAATGTGTTTGAATGTTACCTCGTTTTCAAAGAGATTGTGTACTATCTAACCGTAGAGCGGGAAAAATATTGTAACCTTATATTATAATAATAATATTATAGTATTATTTAGTTCTTAAAGTCAGTGGTGTACCCACGGGGGGAGGGGGGAATTAGAATTCCCTCGACCTTTCTTTTCATTTTGAACCGAAAACAATAGTCAATGGCCATGTGAGCATGGACCACATAGTTTGAGATAAGTAGGTACGTAGATAGATGAACTTTGGTATGAAACACAGTTTTATATTTGTTTATTATACATTTATCTAATAATCATAGTACTTACTTATTTTGATAATTTTCACATTGTCTCCATACAAATGTCCTGGATACGTGGCTAGTAAAATTAATTCATTCTTTGCTATCAATGGTGGTCAAATGATTTTGTCATGCAGGGAGTAGGAGACAAGGATAACGTTTAAGAACTAGTATTATTTACATAATTCTTTTTAATAAAGATAATAAAGATATTATATACATTGATTTTGAAGCATGCTCAATACATTTTTCTGGCTAAATTAAGCATAAATAATTAAAATTCAGATTTGAGTAAATTTTTAAATGTAGTGAACGACAATATTTTTACATAGATAAGTACTAAGTATCTATATTTTTCACATTTTAAGGAGTATTCTGTGATGATAACAACTATATTGTTTTTCATATGAGAACTTACATGTTTTGATGCAAATTGTCAATTAATTGATTTTTCTGTAAATATTGATGTATTGTAATCGAAATTTAAGAGTTATTCTATTTTGAATATTAGAAATAATTATAGCATTTTATGTGGATTGTGTACTGGCTTTTTCATATGAGTAGTGTATAGGCGAATTTTTGTTTTATCTTTTATTATATTTTAATATTTAAAGCAGGGGTGTTCAACCCGAGGCCAACAGTAGATTCTAATGAGGCCCTCATTTCAATTTCAAAAACTATCAATTAGTTCTATACAATATATTATTATGAGAAAAAAAATTATTTTAAGAATATAAAACTACAAAATATTAAAACAAAAAACTTTAAATTAATTTTATAGTATATAAAAGTGTTATCTTTTTTGGGATCCGATAGTGATAGCACGGGTGCATCAGTTTACTTCAAGAAAATATTACCTATATTATTATATTATTGGAGATATTATGTTCTTTAAATATGAATTCGAAAACTCTATGCTATTTTTGCAACACCATTTTCGATCTACATTACTGTTGTAGAAACTAAATTCCAAATGGAATATATTGAGTTATAAACAGATATTCAAATCAAAGAAAAAATCAATCAGTCGTCTTTATTCGATTTTATAAATTATATCTACATAAAGAAACATATTCTGTCCTCGACGATCAAGCATTATTCGTGTCCTCGCTTTTCGACAGTAACTGTATTTGCGAATAATGAAAGAATAAACCAATTATTGAAAAACACCAAGAGTAAAAGTAATGATCCACTATATTAGACCAACACCTTAAAAGTTGTTTGACGATTACCATAACTTCAATCGATCCGGATATTGATTCATTACTTTCACAAAAAAGGCGATTTCAAATTTTATTCATTAGTTTTATTGTTATTTTAAAATTGTTTTCTTTTAATCGTAAATAACTATATTTTTTCCTTTAATTATGAATAAAATGTATTATTATTAAAATATATTATGTGGCCCACAACAACTTCTACTCACATAATGTGTCCTAGTCTTCACAAAAGGTTGGACACCCTTGATTTAATGTACAATAACTCAAACATTTTTCTTTCAAATTTCGATTACAATACACCAGAATTTTAAGAAAAATCAATTGATTGACAATTTGCATTAAAACATGTAGGTTCTCATTTGAAAAACCTAATTGTTATCGCCACAGGATACTCCTTGAATGTTGTGAAACATCTAAGTAGGTATTCAAAAATATCGGTTTTTTCACTACACTTAAAAATTCCAATTATCGAAATTTGAATACATGCATGATTTAACAATACAAATGAGGAGAGCATAGATAAATAAACCTGTATATTATAACAAATATTTAATATAATAGGGATATATCCCTCTCTCCGTACGATCACCCCCGTTCGCTATGCACAGAAATCGAAAAATCTAAAGATACTTCTGAACTTTAAATGCATGCGTTTCTGAACTACAGTTTTTAAGTAGGTTATGCTTATTTCAACCGCTATACCTATACATATATTACTATGATAATATATGAATAGGAATTTTAAAGTGTAAAAAATTAAAATTTTAAATAATGCGTGTACCTATACGTATATTCACCAAGTATATGATGGGTACCATTAATTTCACGCACGATCGGTTATCTATTTTCGTTCGAGTTTATAGATACCTATACTTACGCTTTTATTAGGTATACAGGTACAAGAGTCAACAGCCTATAAGTAATACGTTTCGTCATTATTCATAAGCATTTCAGTCGGAAAGAAAAAATCCGCCTACTACAGAACTCGATATAAAATGGCAAAAATTACCCGTCGTATATACTAAAAATATAATAGTAACCGTCGATCAAAATTATAAATGACATGTAACTGTTTATAATACGAGAAATCGACTTCCTATAATACAGTGTATACTTATGTTGTACCTATTATAATATATTGTATATGCATTTTGGCTTGTTTGGCAGTCGGCAGTGTGTATACGAATAATAATATATTGAAAACGAACATTTTTTTTATTTTTTCTCGGAAACATTCAAAAGTGTTAATTATACGTATACGAGTAGTGTTTGAACGTGATACAGAAGTAGATACCTATTGACTTTATAGTATTATTACTTTTTTAACTTAGACAGTAAACTTAAAATAGATAGGCTTCGATAGTAAACAAAATGATAGAAAATAGACTGAGACAGTTGGAGCGTGTCGTGGGGAGAGAGGAATCTGAAACCGAAAGAATTGTAATGAAAAAAAGTAACGTAAAAGGAAAGAAGCGGAAGGGATGACCGAAAAAGAGTTAGTTGGGTGCATTTGAGAATCGTGAAAACAGCAGGCATATGCTAGGTGGGAGGTCGGGTCAAATGGAAGTTTAGAACGAGGATAACCGATCCCAAATAATTGGGAAGACAAAGAAGAAAAAGATTACTTTGTTTAACTATTTTAATTTACAATTACCTATTTATTTTAATCTACAATTATTTTTATATCTATGTATCTCGGGGAAAAAAAAATGTTGAATCCCGTTTAAGTTTTCTTGGACAGTTTGTTCGTTCTCCCACATCGAGATTAAATTTTTCAGAAGCTCTTTTAATCACATTTATTATAGGTTGACGAATTTTTTACGTCTGTCCCACAAACGTTTGCAACGGATATCACTATGTACTAACCGACAAAGTTCATTCTGTGAAAATAAAAATACATCTGTGTAACACTAATAATATCTTCTTGGCTACACTCAGAATTTGGAAAATAGTTATATTCAGTGGCGTTTAAGATATTGGTAAATAAATTCATGGATATCCACACCTAAAAGGAGGTTGGAAATATACCTCAACATTTGAAATAGCATTACACTTACCAAGATTCAGTTATTTTTAGTGGAGACATAAATATTAATTTACAGTCAGATGCTGTGGATACTATTTAAATGAATTATCATCATAATGTGATTTTAAATCATGCATTAATAATACTAATAGGTTTAGGTACAACATACCAACTAGTAACTAGTTCATCATTTTGCTTAGATCATATATTTTTAAAGATACCTCTAATTTTCATAGTTTATATTAATGGCCTACTAGAAATAAAATGTGATGGTTCGATTTTCTGTTTTGCTGATGATACCACAATATTAATTAATGTTCATTAAAAAAACCAAACTAGTTTCTAAAACGACTCAAACTTTGTCTGATGTTAATAAATGATTTAATTAGTACAAAAAATTCCTTTCATGATTTCAAAGAATAATAGTTTTTAAATGATCGATGATATAAAAATACACGATTTAAAAAGTCCTGAAGTGATGATATATTCAAATTGTGATAGGTAATGCTGGTCGTGATTGCATTCATATTAAATCTACAGACTCAATAAAATACCTTGGTGCCATTATTGATTATTAAGTACTTAAAAAAATATATAAATATATATATATATATTCTGCCTCCCCTTCCAGCAAGGCCTGAGCACGCCTATGGTACTATTACGAATTTTTATATAAAACAACTTTATGTAAAATAAGTTTTATGAACTGCTATATAATCATAAAAGGATTCAGCTTCATCGCATAATTATAATGCTCGTCAAATTCAGAATAACATTTAAAGAATGTTTAAATGTATAATAGTGAATTTGGTAAACGAAATCCCTATTATATCGATCTTTATTACTGTAATTATTCTATGTATTAATATTAATAATTTTGATAATTTCAGCTTGTATAAAAAACATGTTATTTGTAAAGTAAAAATGTCACAACCATAATAATAATTCAAATTTGTTATCTACATAATTTCACTACCATGATCAATTAACTATATGTTTTATTTTTACATTTTTTGATTTGTGTACTAAATTGTTATTAATTATTTGTTTTTGAATTTATGGCTTCTAAAGCTTAGGAAGTTCTTTTGAACCCGTACGAGTTGACGACTTGTCTACACTAATGTTTTGCAATGTTTTTACTGTCACGACCACTTAAATAGATATTGAATTTTTTAGCGACGCATAAATATATATTTTGTGCACGGTGACCCAATATTTTCCATTTTTGGCGATCCTCAATAATTAAAGTTGGTGACCCCAAAGAGGTCGTGACCCCCCGGTTGAGAAACGCTGGTCTATACGGGTTTCGTACGACTAAGCTTCGTACTTCAAGTATTGAAGTGTCGGCCGAACCAGAGCCCGATATAGGACTTCAGAGACTTCAGAGTCAGTTTAAATTTACCAGCTATACATTTTTTAAACAAAACTTTTAAATGCTTTGCGTGTGATGGGGTCGATATGAGAATGTAGAAAAAGTGAAGGAATGTTCCTTCACTTTTTCACATACCTAAGTATATGATAATATGAATATACACGTAGTACTATAATTTATATGCTTTTAATATTACAGAAAACCGAAAGTACATATAGCTAGGTAGGTACTTCTATTATTTTTCAACTTGTATATTATATAGGTATAGGTATGTATAATAATATAGTAGGTACTGGCTTTTATCATTTTTATAGCTCATAACTACTAAACATAATCATATAGGTTATACATTGTTATCTAAATCCAAGTTAGAAAATATGTATTTCATCGCATGATTCGTGTCATTTGTGTTTGGTCTCTTTCAATTTGAATTAAAAATTTTGTTTACCGTTTTGGAAATTGTTTTATCCAACATAAAATAAAGATTTTTGATTTTCTAATTTTTCTGTTTTAAAAACATTAACACATTAAACCAAGTAGCAAAAAATCAATATCGTTATTTTCTTTTTTTTACCCATGTATTTTTTCATACCTGTTACCTGTGTAGTGTGTATCCCCTTCTACCCTTCGATACACCCACTGGTTACATTAATAACAAATAGTACGTTGATTGCGTCCACCTATACCTACCTACCGTTGGCGTTCTGTTGTCCTAGAGTAATCATGATGTTGAGTGCCTAAACTCGATATCCATCTAAAACTCGAGACCCTATAAATGTGTGGCGGCGCCGAACAGTCACCCTCCCCTCTCCGTAGCACGACCCCGATGTTGCGTTCAGCAAAAAACACTGGCATATCCAGAGGGGGCTTCGGTTCTCCCGCGCTCAATTGGCCTTGTTTAAATACAAACAAATAATATTTATTAATCGACATATTAAACCGTTTATTTGTATTAAAAACAATAATCATTGCACATATTTTACACTATTTACTTACGTAAATACAAACAATTGCACCTACTACACAATTACCTATATGCGAATCACTAATTATAGAAAGGGCGCAAAAAACCGACACGTCATGTCCTGGATTTGTCCTCATTCAACATCAAATATTAACTGAAGCGGCTACAGATATTTATATTACGGTTCGATAGATTAGCCTTATTCTTACAGAAAATGTATATTTAAGGTAGATAAATTCAAATCGAGTGATAACTAAATTTCGTCAAAAAGTGCGGGACATGTCCCCTTTCTGCAATAATTAGCCATTAATTTTGCAAATTTTGCATTTTTGCAAAGATAACCAGCAAGAAAAAGGTATGATACATGTAGATATTTCGCTCGCATTGTTGTATTTTAATATACACGTTATAAATGTTCAGCTCTTGCCGTTGAAAAATCGTGGGTACGTCACTGACGGCAAATACGCTAATTTAAATTATTAAATTTAGCTCCCGCACGGCTTCGGTCAACTAGAGAACGTTAGTTGTACCCGCCACCCGGTGTTAATCAATCGTCGTGTTTGTGGAGGAATGATAATAACTGCAGCCGAACGCGCGATTCGTCGATTGACGTTATCGAGGTTAATGTGTTTTATTTCCCAGACCGTTGACCCCTTTTATTATAAACTACCCTGCACTCGTACTACCCCCTATCCCCTCACCAGTAATGATATTATAATATTATTATTGTCGTGTCGCCCAGACGACAATAAGTGCGCAAAATAAGTGTTGTGTACACGATAGGTGGATACACTCCTCCGTGAAACCTTCACTCTGTCGTCCTCGTCGCATCGTCCTGGTTTTGCGGTTTGTTTATACTTTTATGGATTTTGTTTTCGGCCGTTCGCTCTTCATACCGCCGCAGCCGTAGTCGACCGTTTCAGTTTTCAATATCCGTCACAAACGCCAGCCACCCAGTCGACTGCGCTACGGCAATGATCAGCTGTACACGACGCTTGCGACATTAGCCACTGTAAATATTTCCATCGTTAAAGTATGATATCCGTTGGGACGAAATCAAAGATGGCCAGCAAGCGGACAACAGCCACTACCTCCGCCGCCGAGCACGACGTTTGTGAGTCCCCCGGATTAAATAAATAATAATGTAGTCTTAATACCTCCAGTAGGTAAATAGGTGCCCGCGTAGGTAATTTTCATAAAAAATAACTTTGGGTTTTTTGTGCATCTAACTAATAGGCACTCTGTATAGTAATAATTAGTTTACAGCGGACTTGTTGACCTATGCAACTGGTATAGGTGACAAATTAATATAATTTCATATTATCCAAAAACAAGATGTATGGACACAGAATTTGTTTAAAAAAACCTTGCCTTTTAAATATTATATTTTGTTACAATTGGCAACCTCTGTTTTTATTTTTATTTGATCAGATAGGTACATAAGTCATTTCTATATTATCTTGTACCTACTCCAATTACCTTTAGATAATATTACAAATGAAAAATGTTATCTGTTAAATTTTACTTAACAATCGAAATCAAAATTGTAGAATATCTGTTGGTGATTATAACATTTGTTTACATTTAAGAAAAATGCACGATGAACTCTCTAGAGTCACTTCTGGTAAACAACTTGTTTTTGAAAGCAGAAAAAAATGTATAGTATGTATATAGCCGTATAGGTAGGGATGGCCGAGATACTTAAAAGTTAATACTTATCTAGATACTCGATACACTGACTTTCAGTATCCAAAACATGACATTAGACACTAATGTTACAAGTATTTCAATACAAGATACTTGATATCTATACTTATATTTTATGTAGGTAGGTACTTAAATAATCAATACATTTACAAATTTATATTTTTGTTCATTGCCGAAATGATTTAAAACGAATGAATTAAATGAATTATTTAATAAATATGATAATAATTAATATAATATCATTATGTTTAATATTAATTGTTAGGTACTTATTATATTATAAACTTTTTAAAAATTTTTATATGAATACGACAATTTGATGTTGATGTTAATTTATGAAATACTTGATACATAGACTTTTAAAGTATCGCTATACAAGATACTCAATAATTTCTAGGACTATATTGTTATACAACATACAATTGTATTTAAGATACTTATAACAAAGATACTGCCCATCCTTACATATAATATGTACATGTAAACAATAAATATATTTTCTAGAGAGGCTATGTGCTCCTTAAATCCCATTCAAACTACACTTATGTTATGTTATATTGATTTGATTGCAATTTTACCTTTTGTCAGATGCAAATATAATATTAAATATAAGTATTCATATATTTTATTCTGTTTACTAAAAAAATTGATTAAATACAATCGTATATTAATAAAAAATTGCATAGACTTGTTTTTAAAATGTATATATAAATATGGATTTATTATATTAACCCTAAAAATTAATATTACTTTTATTATATGTTTTTGTTAAACAGCAGAGCAAATCTCTGAGCAAATTTTACATAAAAAAACTACAATATCACCTGAAGATGTATTAAAATTACCTAATATTACCAAAGGTTAGTGTATAACTTTAATTTATAATGTATCAACTAGATAATATTTTCATAAATTGAATTTTGTTATAGGATATTTGTGTACTCCAGATGCAAATGTGTACAATATTGATTTTATTCGTTTTAAAATACGTGATCTTGATACAGGCGTGGTTTTGTTTGAAATTGCCAAGCCTTCTGTAATACTAGGTATGATTTTATTATTAGTATTATAATTTCATTTAAACATATTTATTGAGTTAAATAAATAACGTAATCATATTTTTTAGATGACAATCAAACTGAAGGAAAAGTAGAAGAGACAGATTTAAATAGTGGCCGATTTGTTCGCTATCAATTTACTCCTAAGTTTCTTAAACTGAAGTTGGTTGGAGCAACGTAAGAATTTTAATAAATATTTTTATGTTTCATTTTGTGCCAGTGTACACCATATAAGGCAAAACAGTACAGTAATCCCCCCTCCCTTAATTTTAACTGACTGCTATTTAAATCTATTTTAATCTTATAAAGCTGTATATGTATGAGTAAAATTATAAGTTATATTTTCAATTTACTTAATATTTTAATTTCAATATAATTATACAGAGTGGAGTTTACTGTAGGAAGCAAACCAGTGAATAAGTTTCGAATGATTGAGCGTCATTATTTCCGTAACAAATTATTAAAGACATTCGATTTTGAATTTGGATTTTGCATACCCCATAGCAAAAATACATGTGAACACATTTATAAGTTCCCAAATTTGGATCCTGAAATGAGTAAGTTATGATTAAATATAAATAAATGTTTGAACCTTATAATGTATAAAATATTAAAATTTACAGTTAAAGAAATGATCCAAAACCCGTTTGAAACAAAATCAGACAGTTTCTATTTTGTTGAAGATCAACTCATCATGCACAACAAAGCTGAATATGCATATAACGGTGGAGTTTAGGCAATACTCGGATGGTTTCTTTACTTGTATAGAGCTCTGTAGTTAAAATATCACTATTTATGTTTTTCATTCCAAATGTCAACGACTTGATTGTATATCACATTGTGTGGTCACATTTGTCTCATTTTAGGGTGCAAAGTTGCTTTGCATTCCAATATTTTGCTACTCTTTTATTAAGAACTTAAAAATCACCGTATTATACATCTTAGTATTATAATACATCACTATTTTTTTGTGTTATAATTTACATTAGTTCTTATTATACAGTTGTTATGAATTTTATTATGTTCTATCAGTATAGATTTTTGAAATTTTTATGTTTAAAAATAAAAATAGGTTATATATTACATAATAAAAATAACATGGTACGGTGGCAATGGACTGAAAGAACTAATGAAAACACTTTGGGGACCACTGCTATAATGCAAAAAGTATCTCACTGAAATTTTAATTTTGTTCGTGAACAACAATTTAGATTTTACATTTGTATCAAAAATTAAAAATTTGTCAAAGTATAGTTTAACCCATTTCTTGTTGTATGTATTACATTTCCAGTTTGTTGTTCTATCTACACCTGAAGAAGACTGTAGTGACTATTCGGCTATAAAATTCATTATATTTAAATCACTTTTTGCATTACTGTGACAATATTTAGTTCAGTGATAGAATAGTATGGCCATCATACCATGTTATTTCTTTGATGAGTTTAAATTAATTTGGCTGTAAGGGTAATATTTGCCTTATGTATTTATCAACTAAAAAATATATTTAAAAGAATAAAATACATTTTTTATTTATTGGGTCTCTTAGTTTATGAATGTTTAAGTTTTTTTCATACACATTTTATAAAATGTTTGAATTTGTTTTTCTTCTTGTCTAAGTTAACTCAAGCAATATTAATTTAATTACCTATGAAACTATATTTATATTATGTAAGATGTAATTGCTTTGGAAATGACACAATTATTATAATATTTGACCTTGTATTCTTAATTAAATATTGTATGTTCTATTTGTTTTGTGATATCCAAAAAAACTATTTACCTATTTAACATAAAAGTAAAATACATTTAATTGTTATACATTTTTGATACTGTTATTTTTATTTTGTTGATTATTTGCAAGGTAAGGACTTAAATCCAGCAATATTTAAAAAATATCAATTTTGTTTTTGACGAAACAAAAAAATATAACAAGACGTCACAACGATGTTGTACAATATATACCTACATATGATAATTATATACCTAATTAGTTGATGTCATCAATCCATAGAATAATTTGCATCAATTGATTAAGTATAGATATTAGGTACCCACTTAGGTTTTCAAGTGTTAAAGGAAATTTAAATATGACGCATCTTAGTTTGATAAAGTGTCAAAAATACACCTTTTGAGAGGTGGAGGGGTGGTAATCACAAGGGGTGGGTTTAGGAGTATGGTTCATCTGTAAGGCGTATACCAAAATCTAGCTTTCGATGAGTTGATAATTTTTTCCTAATTTGACTAGACTATATTATCTAGGATATACAGAAAAAAATAATGTATCAAAATACTCAGAACCTATTTTATACAATGCAACCATTTTCACCAAAAAGCTCGGTGGAGTTCGTAACAAAAAAGTGTATGTTGTAAAAATAATGGAGTACTCAAAAAAATAAAAATATAATATTCATTTATTTGTTTATTTATTTATTTATAACAACAGGCTTGCGCCCACACATTAAAATAACAACAAGTTATTCAAATTCATTAAATTAAAAGTTAAGCATAATATATATATATATTTTGGTTCAAAGAGGATTAAATAAAACATGTGATTTCTAACTCTTCTATGTCAGTTTTAGACGGAAATAGCCTATAAATTGTTGGGATGACTTAAAAGCTCTCATAATATTAAATAAGTATACATAGTAGGTATTTACATGATTTGGGGGGGGGGAGGCTTGGCTGTATTTTGGGAGTTACAGAATCCTTTATTTGTGCTAATGGGATATAGAATTTTCCAATGAAGGGTAGTTAGTAGTACCAATTGGTGTTTGTACCATGACACAAATTTGTTTAAGAATTTCGGTTATTCTAGTATTCTGTCGGTTTAACTGAATATTATTTTGTAATAGAGATATTCTGTTGAGGGGTTAGAATAGACCAAATATATTTTATATCTAGACTGTTTTATTTAATACGAATTCCAGGTGACATTTGGATGATTTTGGACGATGGAGGAACCAAGTCCAAGGCTTTTAGTTAGTTTAGTTTAGTTAATTAAATGATTGATTTGTTAATTAGTTTAGTTAATTATGCGAGCATAACCCGCGAAGGGCAAAACAGGATTTTATAAAATAATTAATTATATTCATTAACAAACGATGTTAGTAGTGGGGTACCGATGTGAAAGACTGAACTCCCACTAATGTCGGTTAATTGTGGAAAAAAAAAAGTTTGTACCTACACGTTTGTAATCAAACACGATTTCACTTTTCTCGATTTTTCGATACGCGTTTCTACCAGGCGCATGGTTTTGTACCGCCAAAGGTTATCACGGCGCAGATAGCCGCGGCTCGTCTTATTAGGTTGCCGCGAGAAAGTTCTCAACTGTTGCGTTGCGTTCCTCGGCCATCATCAATTGAACTGCGTGCTTGCCTTTGGGAAATATTTCGAGTCTGAAATGGTGACGAATAATAGACCTACTTTTGATTTTCAAATAGCAACCTATATTGGAAATAACTTAAATAGATGGGAGTATTAGCGAAAATATATTTTAGTGTTTTTTTGATTTCTAATCAATCCGTTTAAACACTGTGTACCGTACCGCTACACAAATCATGCATTACTACTCTCCTCCGACACAAATTTAAAAGTTAAATATCTCGTCAATGGGTTAACGGAAAACAACAAATTTCAAACTAATATTTATTTCAACTAATACTCCATGTATTTATGGAACATTTAATGGAGGTTGCCATTTGATTATCAAAAGTTTGTAACGTTTTTAATCCTCAAAATTAGAATCGACGAAAAATAAAATAACTGTACAACTTCAGGGCTGTTTGTTTTTTAAATTTTCGAAAAAAAAAAAAATTCCAGAAAAGTTAATATTATGTATAATAAAATAATTGTGATTTTTTTTTTTTTTTAAATAACGATCCAGCGATTATTTCGGAGAATTATATGTGAATTTTGACTTCCATTTTTTCGTGTATAAAATTTCGTATCTTTTTAAACACTGTTTTTCTTACGCCTTAAATGAGTAAACATTTTGAACTTTCAAATAGCAATCTTACTTTTGAACAGTGCGATACAGTGTCAGATATACTCCTTTCGAGAAGTGGAGGTCTCGTCATTCAGGAGTATAGTTTATCTACAACGCGTATACCGAAATCCAGCTTTCGATGAGTTAGCTGATCATTTTTTTTCCTAATTCGACTAGACTATGTAGCGAGTATTTACAGAAAAAAAAATGTATCAAAATACTCGAGATCTACTAGGTCCTATACAATGGTATTATTTTCACCACCTATTTTAGCATTTATATATTTACAAAAAATTATCACTATGTATGTCGCATCCACTTAGTGTAATAATTTTGTCATAAATTCCATTACGCGAACTACGATCGTATCCTGTAAGTCAAATTTAAATTCACGAAGAGGACGTATATTTATATCCATTTAATGAAATGGAAAGATGCCCTTATTTTACACTATGTGTAACATTTTAAATTAATTACATCAATTGGTAACTTTTTGTGAAATCGAAATAATAACATTGACACGATAATAATACGGATCTAACTAATATTTTTAAATTGTAAAACTCGATTTGTTATGGAAATATTCGACCAATATAAATTAAGTTACAATTTTAATCTATTAAATATTTATTATTATAAATATTACTGTTATGGAAACGTCTGTTACACTTAACAGAATCTTTACAATTAAATTATTTTAATTTAATTGTAACATGTTTTACATTAAAACATTTAACACGATTTCAAAGAGTGCAATGAAAATATAATAACAATAGTTCATGATTAAAACAACGCATTTGATAAGTTTACTTTAAATCATTGCCAATTGAGTCTTACCAATGTAGAATACCTACCCATTTTTAATTTTGGATTTTAATACGTTTTTATTTTTCATAAGTTTAATGTCTAGAGTTAATCCGTTAATTATTTGGTCCTGAAAAAGAAATGCTTAAGACAATTGTTGGGATTTTAATGTATAACATTTTTTAATGTAATTTTTTCTGTTATTGGTCGATCTAAATGACATACGTGTATCCATTATTTCACAATTTATTATGGTTGTACTGAAAAGTAAAAATAGAATGGACTTAATCCGTTCTCCACTGGGACTAAACAAAATATCTATGCGTATACATATGGTTTCATATTAAATGTTAAGTAAGCACATTAAGTTGTTTTAAGCGGATATACCTATGTTTAATTTATTTAATTCGGATATTTTCATACAGCTATGCCTTCGTCATTTTGTGATTATATGGTGGTGTCTGTGGTTATTCATTTTTTGGATTTTGAAACGCCTGTATTAGGTGGGTATTATAGTAACCTAAGGAACATTTGTTTAAAATTTGTTGATTATTTCGTTCCCCCAAGATTTATCGTTGTAATATAAGTACCTACATATTATACAAACCACCGATAAAGCGTTCCTATTCAATACAAAACGCAACATTTTTGGCCTCGACTGATGAACGAATAATGACTGCTGATTATTTGGAACTAATTATTTTACCACGTTCATCGATGAATATGTCGCGGTCGTCGGTTGATTACGCACTCTAAAATCGTTTGACGTCGGTTTTTTTTTTTTGAATATTTTAAGACAATTTTGTATTAAATATATATCTAAATATTATACATATGTAAAATTGGCTATCTTCAAATTATAATCAAACGTTTCAGAACTTAGATGGCGTAGGTATGCGGTTTTTAAATTTTAGATATACATTATGAAGTCGACGTAAAAAAATCATTTAATTAATCTATTTTGTGTGTACGTTTTAAATTTAAGTAATGAACGTTGAACCCGCATTATTATTGGTTTTTACAGGCTTGTTAACAGGAAAAAGAAATTCCGGGGAGAAAGTCTGGGAGAGGGTTACACTTAAACATCCATTAAATACATAACCATTTTTTTTTCTATAATAACATTTAATTTTCAATAAAAAATAAGACTAAAATATAAAAAGAAAACTAAAATAGAAACAACAACGTTCACGTCGTCCGAATTCCTATAGGTTAGGTGCGAACACATTTCTAACTAAATTTAACTTTTCTTGTTTTTTTAAACTGCGCTTGTACCATGGAGGCATTTTTCTACCGCCAGTGGTTATCACGGTGCAGATCATCTAATTAGGTCGCTGCGAGAAAGTTCTCCACAATTGTGTTGAAATTTCCAGCTATCGTGAAGTGAAGTAAGTGTTTGCCTTCTGGAATTATTTCGAGTCTGAAAATATGACGAAAAAAACATTGGAAAAATGTACCAAATCGATTATTATAATTGCTCGCCGTGATCGACGGACAAATTGGGCGTCGTTCTATACATTTCGGCGCGGTATAAACTCATTGACGCCGTTTATGGAGTAGTGGCATAGGTGCAACTAGGACCGCGCGACGGGGGATTTTCAGCATCCCCCAATTTAAAATTAGTTCAAACGTTTGGATTTTATTGAATGGCTTACAATAAAAAAAAATGTCATTTTCATAATTGAACGAGACGCAAAGAAATTACAAAATCTAACGTTCGGCAATTCGGATAATTTTATCACTTGGTAGTTGACAACAGATACATATACGTATGACATTACATCATCGCCCACATTCCCACAAGGTATGTTCAGCTTAGTTATTCGACAAACCAATATCGTAAGGATCGTATTATCAGATCGGGAGATTTTATTACAGAGAGTAGCTATGTTGATGTTAATTGAACTTTTTTTGACATTGATTTGCCTAAGTGATTGTAAATCTGAAAAAAAAAAAATATAAAAAAGTGTGTGCATACTTCTCACAATGGGTTGGCCACTGTTGTAGGTGGGATTTTGGTAAGGTAGGATATATAGGGGAATTTAATGAATGTCTGTTTAACAATTAACCATTGCCAACGAAAAACGATTTCGAGTTAAGTTCGGTTAGGTACAGATGTTTCGAAAGGTCGTAATATTTACGATTTTCGTCAGAATTTTATACTATAAAATTCGAATAAAACAAATTCTACATTACATACATTTTTTTTTTTACCACAGAGTACGACTTATAATTAACCTCCTGTTAAGTTTTTAATCATTTCTATTTTTTCTAACAATTATACCCACAGAGTACCTACCGATTAAAAATTACGTAAAAGACAAGCAAAAATAAAATGTGTATAAATTGCTTAAAAATGGTTAAAATTTAAAATTTGTTATCCCGTTTAGAAAAGACAAATGTCGAGTTTTCCTATTTATTATGAAAAACGCTTGGAAAATAAAAAAAAATTACTTCCCTAAAGTACCACCAAGGTAAAATTTTATTTTTGGGGGTGAACCACTATCTATAATTTTGATTTTCAAATAGTCGCCTACATCAAAAATTCCGTTTATGGAGTATTGGTTTAAATGGATATTGGTGTTAAAATTCGTGTTTCCTTCAATCCGTTTCGCCGCGTAAATTATGCTCTACTACTCTATCCCGACCAAAACTTAAAATCGGAATATTTCGTCAACGTGTTAACGGACATCAACATTTTCAACATTCATAATTGTCTAAACCAATACACCGTACGTTTGCGGAATTTCAAACATAGGTTGCCGTTGGAAAATCGAAAATAGGTAGCGGTTTTACCCCCCCCCCCCTTCCCCCCCGTCCACCGGAAAATAAAAGTGACAGTTGACATAACACAATGGTGAAAATGTATCGCGGCTCGTTTCTTAAACGTTCTGTAAAAAACAGATTTCGAGAAAAGAAGTTAATACATCCCGGGACAATGTGCGTGTCCGCATCGATAGATCGATCGCCTCGTATCATGCACGGCGGATAACCCGTACGGTCACGATCGTTTTTCCGTCCGGTCGCATCGACGAAACCAAAGCGAGGCCGAACGATGTCCCGCGCACACGCGCTTGCCGCGGAACCCGTAGCGCGCGGCGGAGTCTCTTTATTAGATCGCGTGTTACTCACGACGAGTTGTCGATGTTTTGTTGCAGATACAGGGCGTGTTCGGCGGGCACTAGGGCGTCCTGGCCGCCGTGCAGTATGAGCGTCGGCACGCTGATGTCGGCCAGCTCTCGCCGGCTGATGATCTCGCCGGCGTTTCGGTGCAACAGCCCCTGGTACCAGTCCACCCACGCGTTGAAGGTGTGCTGGAAATACGGCATTCCGTACTTTTCCACGTTGCGCTGCTTCACCTGCGGCGACCACTGGATCACGTTCCGTCTGGAGTTGTACAGTTCCACGGCGCTGGCCGTCACGAACGCCTTGCAGCTCCAGACGACCGCCTTACGCAAACGGCCGGCCGTTTTGCCGGACGCGGCCATGATGAGCGCCGTGCTGCCGCCGTCGCACCAGCCCAACACCGAGTACGTGTCGATGTGCAACGCCTGTGGAAACGGCGCGAACGCGAGTTTCAATAATGCGTTTATTAATTATTTAATAAACGTTTATTTAATTTAAATGCGTTTCGGCGATTGACCCGGTTTTATATTCATCGTCAGTTATGGTTGCGCGATTTCGATAAAATAGATTCGTGAAAATGACACGTTTTGTGACTGTTGTACGAGCATTTTATTAATCGATAACAATGAAAAAATTCCTGGCTAGTAACGCCCGTGAAAACGGCGCGAACGCCGAAACGGATATTTCGTTTCGTTTGACGATGTTGCGAACACGGCGTCCCCGGGAACAATTTAAATCGATTTAAATCAAACGTCGCGAACGTGAAAATTATTCAATATCAGTCGGGTTGCTCGATAATCCATACATTAGTATTCTTATTCTTTATCATTGCGAAAAGCACGACGAAAGAAATATTTTGGTCCCTAAATATTCGTTACAAAGAGTTTTCACCGTATAATAAAACTACTAATAAACAAACCATTATACACATATTGGGATGGTCTGAAAAAAACTTATTTACGAAACTCAAAATGAGATATGAAAAAATAATTTCGTGAAAATGTTTACGTGCGAACCGTTTCGAGCGATTATGAGTCTTATAAGTGGTGGCCACTGTACACGCTAGTGTCGAATTATCTTTTTACACATCTTTTAAACAATACATAACTCTTATCTATTATGCATTAGAAAACTTCTAAAGTTTTTGTTTGCACCTAAAAAAAGTGGCCGCCCTGGGGAAACTTCCTCCTTGGTCCCCCTTCTTAACCCGACAGTGCTTGGTTTATTATTTTATTATTATTTTTATTAATATAAGATAATTGGTATGAAGTTAAAAAAAAAAAAAAAAAACGTTAATATGATGATGCCAATTAAAATGCAAATTCTACAAACATTTTCGATTAGTCTAAAATAATTAATACACAGTGTCGTGCCACTATTCGACTAGTTACCTACTATATATAGGAAAATTAATAAAAAAATAATAAAATATAGGAACATATTTATCGCTATTGTCAGATTATCTGATTAATAAGTTAAATTATGAGATATCCGATAAGTATCCGATATGAATTTGATCTATTTGCGTACAATTGAACATTTTCAAAGACTGACGCGGTATTTAATTTAGAAAACCCGGTATTGTTTACAGTACTGAAAGGCGGTCCGATTAAGCGGGTAGGAAAAGTCGTTATCTCGAAAAGTATTGACATTTACGGAATTCGTTTTATAGAACATTTAAGAAACAAACAGCACTAAAATCGTACGTTAATGATATTTTTCGGCGCACTTATTTTTGAAGGTTAAACCTTAAACCACTACCTACTTGTAAATTTCAAACCGCAATCTAAATTGAACATTGCATGTATAGATAGAGTATTATCAGTTTAAATAAATGGCGGTGTTAAAATCGTTTCCGTCCCCACCCATTGACGAAATATTTCGCTTTAAAATTCGGGTCGAGATAGATTACAGTGAAGCATCATTTGCGTGGCGTTCAATGATGTACCGCTAATCTTTCCATGAGGCTACTTGTATCTTAAATGCTCTAAAAAAAAAGCGGATCCCGAAAAAAGTTAATATTTCCGATATGACAAAATAACTACGACGCGTAAACTGCGAGTACCTATTATATTTACTTAATGAAGTTTATGTTAAAACGGATCACTTTGCGCATAAAGCATTAATTTGAAGCCTGCACGGCTGCATTCCCATCCCGCGCTGAACCGAACCCCGTCCCGCTACGATTCGGGTAAAAACGACTCCCACACTCCCGGGGAATATAACTACCCGACAAACGGTCCATAGTTCGTTGCCCCGGATCCGTGCGATAACAACAATTTCGTCACCTCCCGCGAGCGAGACGGCCGCACACTCGTTATCTAACTGGCATCACCTCCTGGCCCCGACCCTTTCCGTCAATCGGCCGTCGTGACGACGCGGAGCTAGAGGAACTACGTTTTCTTTTCGCCTCTCTCGCACCGCGCCGTCCACGTGGCCGTGTAATCGTTTAATATCTATGTGCAAATGTCTAATCAAAATATTTATTGATATTTTAGTTGTTAAATCTCTCTGATAATATAAGTAGGTCGTTACATCCATGAGTGAGATGGCCAGGTCGGCGTCCCGGTGCAAAATCTTTGGCGGAAATTCCCTGTCCGGGGGCCGGCTCAGGCCGTAACCCGGAGGATCCCACGCGACCATTGTGTATTTTCCGCGATCGAAATGGTCGATGATCGGCTTAAAGTTGTCCACACAGCCTAGACATTGCAAATTATTATTACACTTATTTGAGACGATAACGTTACAATTCACACCGTGCGCAATAATATCGTTAATGGTACTTTTCCGTTATCGTTCGGAGGACGTTGTACGAGGAGTCCGATTGTCTGTACCCTAAGATTGGGGCGGCCGGGGCCGTGACCAGTCCGAGTCGACGTTCCGGGGTGGGGGCGGGGAGGGGGGAGGAGGGCACGATTTTCCCGGCGAACCGGGCGTTACTCTGCGCGTAGTCCCGGCGTCGGCATCGGCGGTCGGGATCGCGGAAAAGTACCGCATAATCGAATTATCAGCGCGCGCCGTTTCCGCGATAGAAAGCAAATGCACAGGCGCCGCGGTCACGATTGATAACGGGGCGCCGTGACGGGGCACGGCTGTCGAGTAAATGCGGGATGTGAAATTTATTTTGTGCGGCGATCCGCTGAATGGGGCAGCTATTGTTTACAGAGTTTCTCGCCACTGATGCCGGGCGGCTAGCCCGTTCGCTTTCTACCGCGAATATTGTCGCGCTACGGACAATCGCGTTTGTCGACATGACGAGCAGCCCCTACCTAATAAGCCGGGGCACAGTAACAGGGCGTGCGGTCCATTCCCGAATTTCGAGTAGTTGATTTCGTATTTATCGATTTTTATCTTTGTCGGCTTCTGTGAACAAAAACGACATTTCCGTATTAGAAGTATTTAAAAAAAAAAAAAAAAAGGTAAAACAAAAAAAATACCTAGCTACCGTCAACCAAAAATATACCCGATTAAGATGATCCGACCTCACTCCGCTCAAAATTTAAAAATTAATTCTTAAACAGCAAAGGATTCCATACCGCACGTCGTTCGCGAACTACTTTAACGACGGCAAATTCACGACAAACGTAAAGTTGCGCTCGAATAAGCTATCGGGTATACTAATATCGATCAAGTACCTATACCTCATATTATTATACGTATCACATGATTTTTCGGAATGGCAGAATATCGTAATTATCAGAGTGTCGTAACAACAAAATGGGTTACGTCAATTTAAGTATTTAAAATCAAATAGGTTTTTTTTTTTTTTTATTTACTTGTCCGACTTCGCTTGTACTTTGCGTTTGACTCATTTCGCAATGCCGCTCTGGAACAATCAATTAAATAGCATGTAAATATTTTGAAAATAAAATACAATTAACACGTCAGTGGCAGTTGCCCGGTACACGCGTTAAGTGTTTTAAGCTATTTTAAGGCAGAACAATTATTAAGGCTCGCACACAATAGTAACGCGGGCATCACACCGTCTCGAGGTCGTGTTTTAATAGTATTTTCGAGGGAACCGGGTATTTACACAGTCTCCGTATACGTCTGACGAGCGGAATACCAGTGGGTTTTGACCTAATGAAGCTATTAACGTTTTTTCGTAGATATACAAATGGGTTTTCTATTGAAAACGGAACAAATTTGAATTAAGATTTTTTTCTTTTTCCCCGAAACCTATTAACTGTCGGTAATTTTTACATTCCGTTTTGTCCCCCAGTAAAATAAAACGGGATGTTTTGGTGTGGGTTTTCAAATGAAATGGCCAAAGAATTCTCCCACCTGGGTTGTTTCGATAACCCTGTACGGTCGACAGGAACAATATAATTTACGGTCGAAAAAAAACAAAGTCATTTAGGTACAACATTCTATACGTATTTAATAAATGCGATTAATTATTATTTTTTTTTTTGTTATACAAAAATCATTTGAAATTTTAAGTTAATTTTTTTTTTCTCCGGACTTGGTGTAGGTACCAGGGTACCTACGTGGGTTTTACGTTTTTCGGGGCATTACACTGTATTTGCGCCTGCACGCCGAAAATTGTTCACTCTCAATGGCCACGAGACGGCGTCTAAACGCCGGATTTAATCTTAATGCCCGGGTTCGGTATGGCCGCCCTCCGCTAAACCGACCGTTTAAAATGACGTACCTTTAACTTCACGGGTCGACCTTATGATCCGTAGCGTAATTCCTCGTCAAATATCTGCACGATCCGTTGACTGGTGCGTGTGTAGCTGGCCGCTGGACGACTGGACAAGTCTCGAGTGGGTACTGTACGCACGAATTATTAATTTAAATTGTTCGAGACCGAGTTGCGTATCGGAACAGGTAAAAAAAAAACTATATATACATTTGAGTTGCGGTCGCATTATCTTAATTGGGTATGCTTTTGAATTACGGTACAGTGCGTGGCCGTTCCGTAATATGTCGCTTACAGCTTATCATTTTTGCCTTTAATGAGTCATTAAACACGCCTAATTAATGGCCCGCACGGTTTCGCCGATTGTTATTATAAACGGGAATGCAGTTGTTAAAAAGGAAACAACCGGAAAAACCTATCGAATAGAGCTCTCTCGTCGACGTCCACAAGGTCCCCGGTTCACGAGGATGAAAAAAGCAAGTTTTTCGTGTCACCAAATCGTTTCGGAGTGCTAGGAACGGAGGAAAAATTAAGAAGTTTTCGCCCAATCCGAAGGGCAACTCGACCCAACATCTAGTGATACCTCTTCAAATCGGAGCAATTGAAAACTAGGTACCGAATATCGTCACAATTAATATAAATGATTTCGTTGCGCCCGACAAAAATCTAACCCGCCGCCTGGTGGGTCCAGATTCACAACATTCACAATTTCACGTGCGGAACTAATAGATCGAACCTTACCGTACAGCCAAACGCACGAGCCAACTCCGTGGTCATTAAATCTTATCTAGAAGACGCCGATCGCGAATTTCATTCTTATCTCCACAGTTCCTCCCGACCATTCCGCGTTGTACTACGCAACCTCCTCCACTCTACACTTACGGTGGGCACCGTTAATTGCCCGAGTGACCTCGGGCGCAAAGTGATTCGTATTTCGAATATGCCTCGCCACGTGAACAAACTGCCTCTTCCTCTTTTTTAACACCGGCTTGGCCCGTAACCCTAACAACCGAGAGACATTCCGAATCGCTGAGGCATTTGACGCTATTGCTAAATTCGAGAAACCAAAAAGGCGTCTCGGTCCTCCCCAACGGCCACGGCTGCTGTCGGAAATTCGGACATACACGTATGCGTATTTATTGTTATCGACATTAATTAATGTACATAGTCAATAAATAATAACATTTCTCTCGTTATCCAATTATTCATATACTGTATTATATTTACACGTTTCGTTATCGTGCAACCATATTATTTATACTTGCTATTATGTAAGCAATTCAATATGGGCTGTCGCATAATATTACCCCTCCTACATATGTACGCGTATATTCTAATTAATTGTTGAGCTATAATAGTCTAGAACTAAAATAAAAACAAAAAAAAAAAAAAAAAAAAAAAAAAAAAATATAAAAATTACTATGATAGCTACACAATGGTGTTTAATTTTTTTTCCGCGAACAACTTTACTACTAGAAATTTTCTTCCGGTTTACTGCTGATATTTCCGCGACTCGGAATTTTTTTTTTACCTGCAGTTTTGATCTCAACTGCAGCTCTGTTTTTTTTTTTTTTTTTTTTTACCTGTTTTAATCCCGATCGCAATTCGCCTATCGGGATCGCCACTCGGACACTCCCGTATAATATGTCGCGTTAAGTACTGCGGTGTACACGCCGAGGAGGGAGACACAGAACCACTCAGCTACTACCGCAAGTGATTGTCTTATAGGGTGATTTGCTCAACTGGAAACACTCTTTATCTTATTAGGTTAGGTTAGGTAAGGTAGTGTTGACTTTTTTTGAAAACTTAAGAAACAAATAGTTCTTAATTGTTACAATATCATATTTTTTTTTTCACCCTTACTTTTGGGGGTGAAACGGTACCTGAGGTACCTATTTTTGACTTTCAAATAACAAACTAAATTTAAAACGTCTTATAAATAGAGATTGATAATTTGATAATCAAAAGTAGGTAGTGATTTTACCTCCGAAAATTAGAGTCGACGAAAAATAACATAATTGCAAAATCATGGAGCTGCTTGTTTCTTAAATGTACGGTCCAGCGATTTTCTCGGAGAATTTTATGTGAATTTGACTTCCGTTTTGTCATGTGTACAATTTCTTATCGTTTATGCTTATCGTTAATTAAACACTGTTTTCGTTACACTTTAAATGAGTAAATATTTTAGACTTTCAAATAGCAACCCTACTTTTAAACATATATATATACGAATATAGAATATTTTGCTATAGATTGCGGTATACACAACCCTAAATCGAATTTACTGTTTATGAGTGATAATTGAAAAAAAAACTACTCTACGTACCTACTTAGGTTTTCAAGCGTCGAAAGAAGTTGTAATACAGTGTTTCTCAGTGTGATACAGTGTCAAGAATACTCATTTTGAGAGGTTTTCAGGGCTAATTACAATGGGCGGGTCCAGGAGTACCGTGTACCGAAATCCAATATTCGATTATTTAGTTGGCCATTTTTTGCCAATTTGACTGGACTACATAGCGAGCATTTACGGAGGAAACACAAATATATCAAAATACTCGGAACATACTCGTTCCTGTATAATGTCACTATTTGCTCACCTATTTTACCAATTATATATTTAAATAAAATTATCACTGTATATATTGTTCACAGGTACAAACATTTAATAATGTGAAATGAAAATATAATGACAATAATTCATAATTAAAATATTGCATTTATAACGAATGCGTTTAATTTGATAATTGATAATCATTGATGATTGAGCCTTTCCAATGTTATATTTTAATTTTTAATATCTTCTTATTTTTAAAAAGTTTAACCCCTTCTTCTGTGGGACCGAACAAAATATCTATGCGTACACACATGGTTTCACGTTAAATGCATAGTAAGCACAGTAAGTCGCTATAAACGGTAATACCTGCGTGCGATTCAATTCGGATATTTCCATATAGCTTTGCCTTCTTCCTTTTGCGATTATATTGTGGTGTCTATGGTTATTCGTTTTTTGAAAATGATTTGGACTTTTAAAGGCCTGTCTTGGGTAAGTATTATTGTAACCGAATTCGTTTAAAACTAATTATTTCGTTTCCTCCAGTATTTATTATTGTTATATAAGTACCTGCACACTGTACACGCCGCCGATAAAGCGTACCTATTCAAAACAAACCGCAACCGAATTGCTTTATTGCGTTTATCGATGAATATGTCGATGTGAATATAATTGGCAATCTTCAAATTATAATCAAACGTTTCAGAACGTATACGACGTAGGTATGCAGTTTTTAAATTTTAGTTATACATTATGAAGTTGGCGTAAACAAACGATTTAGTTAATCTATTTTTTGTACGCTTTGCATTCAACCCACATTATTATTGGTTTTCACAGGTTCGTATACGCGAAAAAAAACCTGTCGTGGAGGAAACCCGGGTGAGGCTTCCACTTAAACATCCACTGAATACATAACCATTTTTTTCATTAAGTACGTTTTATTTTCAATAATCAAGGTATAAAAAAGAAAATTAAAATAGAAACAACAACGTTCACGTCGTCCGAATTCCTATAGGTTAGGTGTATACACAGTTGTAACTAAATTTAACTTTTCTTGATTTTTTAATGTGCGCTTGTACCACGGGAACATTTTTCTACCGCCAATGGTTACCACGGTGCAGGTTACAGATCATCTAATTAGGTTGTTGCGAGAAAGTTCTCCACAGTTGCGTTGAATTTTTCAGCCATCTGGAAGTGAAGTGTGTGTTTGCCTTCTGGAAATATTTCGAGTCTGAAAAGGCGACGAAAAAGACATTGGAAAAAAGGTACCAAATCGATTATTATAATTGCTCGCCGTGATCGACGGACAAATTGGGCGTCGTTCTATACATTTCGGCGCGGTATAAACTCATTGACTCCGTTTACGGAGTAGGGGTAAATGTGCAACAAGAGCAGCGCGACAGGGAGTTTTCAGCATCTCCCAATTTAAAATTAGTTCAAACGTTTGGAATTCAATTTAATCGTTGCCAAAGCAATTGGCAAAACGTTTACACTTACATCATATTAAAAACTGTAAGCCATTCAATAAAAATAATGTCACTTTCATAATTGAACAAGACCCAAAGAAAATACAATTAACGTTTGGTAATTCGGTATCACATTTTCACTTGGCAGTTAATAACAGACACAAGTTACTTTACATCATTGACAAAAGACAAATGTCGAGTTTTCCCATTTATTATGAAAAACGCTTGGAAAATAAAAAAAATTACTTCCCTAAAGTACCACCAAGGTAAAATTTCTTATCAGGAAAGTTGTTCACGAAAATAAAAAAAAAAAATAATATTGTCGTAAAACCAATACATTTCACGTTTCGTTTTGAATCAAAAAAAAGCACCCACTCAAATTTGATGCACCCTAAAAAATCGCTGTTCAGTGCATTTGTCCGCCTCAGCTCCACCTAAATACGCCACTATCCTTCACTCCTCTCTGAAACTAAAAGCTATGATACATTTTTGTAAAAAGAATTATAAATGAAATGTACAGTTTCTTATTTTAATAATAGAGGTGCTAACAGGATGTAGTCTTTAAATTTGCCGACTAGAGTTTAAAATGTTCAATTATTGTTAACAAGAATAGTAATTATAATTTATCACTTACATACATTATTATAAAACCACAAACAAAATTTAAAAAATACCACGAAACTCTAATCAATTTTTACATTCAATACGAATTTTTTGAATGATGTTCATTTTTTTTTTTTTACACCGGGTATAACATATTTTCTACTAGTAATCTTCCTTCAATTTCATTACATATATTTAATTTTTTTACCGCACATTATAATTAACCTCCTGTTGAGTTTTCAATCATTTCTATTTTATCTAAAAATTATACCCACAGAGTACCTACCGATTTAAATTTATGTAAAAAACTTAAAAAATTATTATGTCTATAAATAGCTCAAAAATGGCTAATTTATTTTCAATATATATATAAGTTAAATATAAGTTTTCTGTCCTAATTATAAGTCTTTGCGAATATTTTTAACAAAATGAGAACAAATAACAAAATTGAAAGTAATATATTTATTGGCCGGGTTTAACACTTGAAAAATAAAAAATGACCGTCCTAAAGTATTACCAAGATAAAATTTCCTTTCGTAAAAAAATATATAATTTAAGTATCCCGAAATTTGTTGATCTAGTTGTGCTAATGATTAGGAATGCCAGGCTCTCAAAAATAAATCCGAATCCGAAAACAATTATTTTACAGTATATACAGAGTGATCAATCTATTGTAAGACACTGATTACCTAGGAAAGTATACAATTTTTTTAGAATTTGTTTTATAGAATATCTGAGAAAGAAGTTGCTCTGCACAATTTTACATTTACGGTATTTTTTTATCGCTCTTATTTTTAAGGGTTAAACCACTACTTGTTTTTGATTTTTTTAATGACAACCTAAATTTAACATTGTCCACTCATCAAACACGAGTCTCTTTATATTATTGCGTGTTACTCACGACGAGTTGCCGATGTTTTGGTGCAGGAACGAGGCGTGTTCGGCGGGCACTAGCGCGTCCTGGCCGCCGTGCAGTACGAGCGTCGGCACGCTGATGTCGGCCAGTTCTCGCCGGCTGATGATCTCGCCGGCGTTTCGGTGCAACAGCCACTGGTACCGGTCCACCCACGCGTGGACTACGCGCTGGAAATACGGCAGTCCGTACTTTTCCACGTTACACTGCCGCGGCAGCGCCGGCCACTCTGCCACGTCCCGTTTGGCTTCGTAAATCTCCACGTCTCTGGCCGTCACGAACGCCTTGCAGCTCCAGACGACCGCCTTGCGCAATCGGCCGGCCGTCCTGCGGGACGCGGCTACGATTAGCGCCGTAGTGCCGCCGTCGCACCACCCTAACACCGAGTACGCGTCGACGTGCAGCGCCTGTGAAAACGGCGCGAACGCGCGTTTCAATAATAATTATTAAACGCGTGTTGGCGATTGATCCCGGTTGCGGTCGTATGACTTTGGTTAATAGATTCGCGAAAACGAAATGTTTACGGTTATTACCGATAATATTAGCTGATAATGAAAACAAAGTACCGGCTAGATATCTAATCATTGGTTTATCAATAACCATGAACATCATAATCGTTCATTTCGTTTGGTCATGGTAACATTCAGTAACATCAGTCGGCGCCCGTTGGAATCGATTTGAATTGAAACAAGTGTATGACCGTATCGTGATTATTGCTAAATGGTGTGATATAAAAAAAATTAAAAAAGACGTCCTAGGATAATGGGGACGGGTGCAGCCACTGTTATGGATAATTTAATATGTATACCTGTAAGCAACGATAAACAATTGTTTACCAAAATAACGATTCTGAGCGGAGTTCAATAGTTTTGATAGTGATGTTTTGTCAACATTACATATATCATCTTCTGGTAAAATAATTAAATAGGTTTTATGTACTTTTTTTAATAATATTTGTTTAATGTCGTACCAATTTTCCCAGTTTACCTACGTTTTTCCCGGGTTTCCCATGTTTTGTCCCGGTTTTTCACATTTACTGGAAAAATTCTTGAGAAAACCGAAAAATTACCTCTCTATGTCGGTTTTCTCTCAGAAAAAGTGCTACACGTAGAAATCCGAGAAAGTCTTCCGGTAGAAATGTTGCACAGAGATAAAAAAAAAAATTAATAAGTAACGTCTTTGTAAAACTATACGCTTCTCCTTTCCACTCAGAATCTAAAACAACGTTAATATGATTCGAAAATCACTCGAAAATTATTAACAAATAGTTTTATGTCATGATTCGAATAGTTACTATATAGGAGTTATAGTCAAATTATCTGATTGGACGAAATGAAGTTACTTAATTTTTGAAGGTACCTATTTAATTTAGAAATTCGGTTTTATTTAAAGTACTTCAAGTTGGTCCAATTAAGTGGGTATCTATTTCAGCCATCTTCTCGAGAAGTATTGACTTTTTTCGCAATTTGTTTTATTTAAGAAACAAACAGCTCTACAATTTTAGGTTCAAGCTATTTTTTTGTTACCATTATTTTTGGCGGTAAAACTACAACCCACTTTTGATTTTCAACCGGCAACCTAAATTAGAAAATGTACGTATAGGTGGAGTATTATTGGTTTAAACAAATGGCGGTGTTAAAACAGAATGAGAGAAATTATGGTTTTTCATTGTTCTCACTCTACATTGTCTTGTGATTGTTTAATATCCAGGTTCTATAATCTATTCTATTTTTTTCATATTTATACTTAGTTAATAATTCTGTGATAATATATTGTAAACCATTACTTCCATGAGTGAGATGGCCAGGTCGGCGTCCCGATGCATGTTGTCTAGCGGAAATTCTCTGTCCGGAGGTCGGCTTAGGCCGTAACCCGGAGGATCCCACGAGACCATCGTATATTTTTCGCGATCGAAATTATCGATAATCAGCGTGAAGTTGTCGATATCGCCTAGACAGAATACGAATAATTATAATATTGTAATTTACGTCGTAGGTCGTGAATACACCAGGTACTTTTCCGTTATCTATGCGGTCGTCTTAATTTCCCTTTATCCAGACTACCGATCACACTTTACCACGAAATAATATAGTAAAATTGTTCAATGGATATTTTTAAAAAAAATGTATTACAATTGTTGTTATTTTTTTGTTTGTTTAAAATAACACAGGCACTTGTAAAACGCTCGTTATTAAATGCGTTGTAGTCGCATTTAATAACGGGGCCATAACGAGGCATAACTGTTAAGAAAAAGCGGATTGTGAAATTTAATTTATATAGTAATCAACTGAAGAATAGCCCTGTTATAGAGTTTCTCGCCAATGTTTTCAGGTGTCAGCCCGTTCACTTTCTATCACGAATATTATTATACTGTGGACAAACGCGATATGATAAGCCACCCCTACCTAATAAGCCGGGACACAGTAACAGGACGTGCGGTCCATTCCCGATTTTTGAGTAGTTGATTTCGTAATTATCGATTTTTATCTTTGTCGGCTTCTGTGAACAAAAACGACATTTCCGTATTAGAAGTATTTAAAAAAAAAAAAAAAGTAAGTAAAACAAAAAAAATACCTAGTTACCATCAATAAAAAAAAATACCCGATTAAGATGATCCGACCTCACTCCGCTGAAAATTTAAAAATTAATTCTTAAACAGCAAAGGATTTCATACCGCACGTCGTTCGCGAACTATTTTAACGATGGCAAATTCACGACAAACGTAAAGTTGTGCTCGAATAAGCTATCGGATATACTAATATCAAGTACCTATACCTCATATTATTATACGTATCACATGATTTTTCGGAATGGCAGAATATCGTAATTATCAGAGTGTCGTAACAACAAAATGGGTTACGTCAATTTAAATATTTAAAATCAAATGGGTTTTTTTTTTTTTTTATTTACTTGTCCGACTTCGCTTGTACTTTGCGTTTGACTCATTTCGCAATGCCGCTCTGGAACAATCAATTAAATAGCATGTAAATATTTTGAAAATAAAATACAATTAACACGTCAGTGGCAGTTGCCCGGTACACGCGTTAAGTGTTTTAAGCTATTTTAAGGCAAAGCCTTTTCTTTTAAAACATATATATATATATATATATATTAAAAAGTTAAAGCTACAAATACAATGAAGAAGACTATAAGCTTTTTTTTAAAAGAATCGGTCCCTGAACATGCATTGTACACTTCTTCTAAGTTCTAATACAGCAACAATGGCTTCTACAAATTCTTTAAAAAGCATAGCTACTTTATGGCGCAACACCCAGCGAATTTCGCATAAGGATTTTAATTTTGTAGATTGTGCATTTTGTTTAATTTAATTTATTTTATGTTTAAGAACGGTAGTTCGTTTTTCAGAACCATTAAAAAAGAACAGCGTTCATTTATGCTACTAAAAGCATTTCGAGTATTATACGAGACTTTGCTGCATCTATTCAACAGATATTTAATGAGTGTGATACATATTTTGTACATAATGTTTATGGGTACATATCTTCAATAATTGCCTGAACACATCCAAAATGTCCACGCTTAGTTGCAGCCCCGCCGTATTCTTGACTTCGCATTTTGTTCAAATCAAAATCAATTTTTTTTAAAGTTTCTTTAATCGTGTTGGTCAAACCTTTATAAGATAAACCATGAGCGGGAACATATGTAAGAACACTTTCTCGAATCAAAAATATCTCCTCATCAACATAACGAATACATTAGGGCGTTTCAGAATTTGTTTTCATCAAATTTTCTTCTTTTCGTGATATTGTGTTTTTTAGAGCTTAATAATAGTCCCTAACTATTTTCCGATTTGTTGGAGGTTCCAAGCATCGGTTTTAGGAAAAAAGTTTAGTTTTTTTTTTTAAATTTTTTATGCGTGTACATACGTACTTAATAAATGTGATTAATTTTCTTTTCTGTTTTGTCCAAGTAGACATTTATATCAAAATGAGAAGTATGGAAAAAACCAACGGGAATTTATGAAGGAGAAAATGATCGAAAAAAACATTGGCAACATAAATCGTTTTGACTTAGTCAAAACGCTCTCTTATACATTTTTACCTAAGTAAATTTAGTACATTTGAACACAAAGATAATTATGTTATTTCTTACAATTATATTACATTAATTATTATTGTGTTGCTTACATATTTACTATTAATATTATTTGTATTTTTAAAGTAAAGTAAGACTTCCTATTACCACCACAAGCATTGATTACAGGGAGTAGGTATCAACATTATATGTTTCACTTTGTTTTGTATAATATGTATATGTTTTGATGTTATTAAAAATAAAAACAAAATAAATAAATTAGTATTGAATGAAATTAAAAACACATGTCACCTTCTGAGTGTTTTCCAAAATATTAATTCAACTGGCAAAAAAAATAATGTTTTTATCATAACTGTGTTTTATTTTAAACTACAAACCACTGACAGTTCTTAGTCTATCATGTTCTTTCATTGCTTGTTAAAGTTTGGATCCAACTTGCATATAACCTGCTGAAATCCGGGACCAAATTATCAGAGTACTTAAAATTTATCGAGATCCAACTGGTGTACTAAATATAAAAACCATTTGGATTTGGGACCCGATTCGAATGCAGTCGTTCAAACATCGGATTTAATCTTAACGCCCCTAAATTTGATATACTGCTCGCCGCGAAATCGATCGTTTAACATGACGTACCTTTAACTTCACAAGACGACTTTAAGATCCGTAGCGTAACTTCTCGTCAAATATCTGTATGATCCCTCGACTGGTGCACCTACCGACCGCTAGATAACTGGACTGGTCTCGAGTAGGTACTGTGCGGTTTTAATATATAATAAACTGCTGTATGTGCTGCGGTGTACACGTCGAAGAGGGGATACAAGAACGATACAACTTCTGCCGCTAGTATCTGTTATATACAAGGTGATTCTATTTTTTTTTTTTAACGATACAGTGATTTTCTCAGAGGATTTGATTTCCGTTTTTTCAAATGTAATGTGTCGTTTAAGCTTTTATTTTTAAACTCTGTTTTCCTCACATCTTAAATGAGTGAACACTTTGTACTTTCAAATAGCAACCTTACTTTTAAATATATAGATTCGAATATAGAATATTTTATTATACATTTTGATGTGCTTAACCCTAAATCGAATTTACTGTTTATGAGTCATAACTAAAGTTTGAATATTGAATCCCAATAAAAATATTTAAAAAGCACCATAAAAAAAAATAAAAAACACTAATTCCTTATATTTTTGAACATTGCATGAAAACCGATTTGGTCCATTGCCGCTAAAAATAGATATTCAATTTTGATTTAGGTTTGAAATACCTACTTGAATACTTTAATACGTAGATATAATACGTTTATTAAAATACAATTTTAGTTCAACGATAAAAAGCTTTTGAAAATAAAAATAAAACCAAAATCACATTAAAAAATAAATTTTCGTGTACTAATTCTATACGTAGTAGGTATGGAACAGTTAATGTAACAAATGCTCATATTTGAACAATTGGAACAATAGAAAATGCATTTCATTTAGAAACAAAAATCTAGTTTATTACCTTTCTATAGTATTCCGGTCTAAATGTTAAGACTATAATAAACCATATATACGGTATAATATCTGATTATAAATGTTATGCGTACCAATCAACGGTTTTAAAACAATATTCTATTGTTCTACATTCGAACTTATGTTCAAAATGAGAGGGCGATTATCGTTTTAAAGTCTAAAGTATATACTCATTTAAGGTATAAGGAATAGGGGTAAACGTTTAAAAATAATGGTATAATGAAACTTAAATGATACCGAAACCGTAATGAAAGAGTTGATACTACTGAGGCGTTCGCCACTGTTGTAGGTGAGGAGCTGGGAATATAGAATATTTAAAGTTATTTAATTTATATCTGTACGCAACGAAAAACCATTGCTGACATAATACAATTCTGAATGAAGTTCGTTGAAATATGTTTTGAAATTCGTGTCAAATTTTACACCTTAAACGCTTATTAAAAAACTACTACATTAAGGTCAACTTTTTTTTTTTTTGCCACTTAGCATAATTTTTAATGAACCTCGTGTATAAGTTTTAAGCATTTCAGTTAGGTGATTTCAAAAATCACCCTGTATATCTATAATTTTAATTATTTTACGTTATTTTTTGAAAGAGTAATATTCTCGACAAGTCGTTTTGGCACCGGTTCAAAACTTGTGTTCGAGTCAAATGTTGTTATCGTGGTGTACGCACACCGAGTGCCACGTAACTGTGTTGTAACTTCGATAGCATCTGGAATTTATCTTTTAACAATCTAATACGTGACCGTACCAACAACATTACACTGCTTTAGTATCGTAAGCTATAATAAATAAAAAATAATAGAAAAATGGAAAATTGTTTCCTAATTTTTAGTTCAATATCCACGAATTAATAATTTTAAAAGGTATCGATTATAAAGAACATATCTTCGAATGCAGGTATTATAGGTACAGAAGGTATTTCTAGTTTACAAATACACTTAATATACATACCAGATCTGTAAATATGAAACCGGAATTTTTTTACAGAAAATCTACGTTTATTGTATGAAACAGGTAACAGATATTTTATTCGAAACATTGCCTATTACTAGCTATACATTTTTCTCACCTGTCTGGTAATTTGTGAATTCTTTGCCAAAAAAACTGTTAATTTTTCGAAGTGATCTATTTTTTTAGGACCACCCGGTCTAATATAATAGATGTAATAAAACGTAGTCATTAGTATTCAATTGATATTGTATCCGGAAGACCTCGATTGTATTTTGTTATATTATCATTTTGTGTTGTAAGTAATTAATTAATATTATATAGCATAATTAGGAAANCGAGTGTGAGACAAGTACCTATGTATGTGTCATATCTGTGTAAATAATAAACTAAGTTTAGAACAATTGTTGTTTATTTTCTTAAGTTTAAAATCCAAATCCTTATAAACTCGTTCTGAATCTACTTGGCTCATAACACATTCATGGAGCCATTTTTGTAAATTTTCGTAAGAAATGAAGCACTGCTCAGCAAGTGCGTGTCCCATCGAAGGAAAAATAGTAATTGAACGGAGTTAAGTCTGGTGAGTAAGCCGCATACGAAAGTATTTCTCAACTAAATGCCTCGATCGATTCTTTGACCAGTTTTGCTATGTGATGAGACATTATCATGAATCAAAATTACTTATTGTTTTTGATATTTTGGTCGTTTTTCACGCAAAGTTTGATATAAATCGTTCATTTGTTATCGGTAGCGCTGAGTATTAATAGTTTCGCCAGGTTTTAGTAGCTCATAATGGATCACACCCTTCTGATTCCATCAAACACAGAGCATTGTCTTCCATCAAAATTTGTCCATATTCTTCGTTTCTCATGTCAAAATCGCCTCATTGAAATTTTTAAACTACTCAAAGTACTGTAATTTTTCAAGACCTTGCTCACCGTAAGCTTTGACATGCGTTCTATGGGATTCTGTAACAGTTGTTTTTCAAACGGTAACAGAAAATTAATGCTGTACGCAAATCGTAATTTCTGGGAACAAAATTCGACATGTTCAATGCTATTACAAACTATGCAGTCTTATGAAACTTGTATTACTATAAGTCAAATATCTTTTGTAATATGTTCACATGTAAATAACATCAATTATGCAGTTTAGAAATAACTATATTGTTAGCTAGAAATATTTATAGGCAAATTCCGGTTTCATATTTACATACCTGGTATACTTATTACGACGATAATCGCGGGTGAGTTGTTACAACGACCCAATCAGATTCAATCAGATATTATCAAATATTAATATAATAACTAGACATATCTGATTGATATGACTATTAGCAGCCGACGCTTGACTTCAAAACGGCGACGTCCGTTAAATTCGATCAATATGAAAAATTTATAATTTGTCAATTCAAATGGTGGAAAAATTGCTGTCATTTTTCAAAAATATTTGTACACGGAAAATAAAACACTGAAAAACAGAGAAGTTTTAGAACTTATTGTTCAATACATGAACGCGCAAATGATTTACGAGTTTTTGGGGCAGGTAACCAAACGATGTGCAAATCATAAGCGTCGATTAATATTTAAATTGTATTTGAGAGACCAAGGGTATCTACTACTCCACAAATTTAACAAATAATTGATAAATGTTGGTATTATTTAATTGTATTTACGTTTAAAAATATACCGTTTATGCGTAGGCCACTGTTTTAGGTAAGAAGTTAAAAAAGTTAGAATTATTTATACACTAGTTTATTAATGTATAGGTACAAACCCGCAGGCCGTGGGACATACTCTTTCGTTTTTTAAAAAAAACCAAGAAGATCTGATAAGTAGTTCCAAAGTTGACCCTGTAGAAAGATTTTCATTTCACATTTATATAGTTAGATATCATACATGTATAATTTAAAGATACAAAATAAATTCGCATATAGGTACTTTGTCGTAGTTGTTGCATTTTTAAGCTAATACGGAAAAGGATACAATATTGTTTGATCATTTAAATTTAATGGACGTAATTTCCTTACCTCGGTTTACGGTTCAATAGCGTCAACATTATTGATCGCGACAAAAATACAGCATCACTTATTAGCATTTTTTATCTACGTACAACCTTCAAATACTTACTGCGAATTTTAAAATATGAAATTTAACAACTTACTCTATAAAAAAAAAAAATGATTTTTCTTTTTTTACGTATCTGTAACGCGCCAAAATAAATCGATTTAAGAAATGCTATAAATTAAAAAAAAAAAAAAAAACGGTCACTGACCTCTTCAATTAAAAATAACGGGTGCCTGGGTGTGTTTTAGAATTTCTGTCCAATAAAATGTCGGCGATAGCGAAACGTTTCGTCCCACGGCACCGTCCAACCGTCATAAAGCGTCAAAACGAATAATTTTCGATATTATTGATTATTGAACCTATACGTTCTATTGTACGGAGTTAATTAAACACTGCGGAATATTTGTACGCAATTAAAAAACACCTATACACAATCCCGTAAAACCTGAACGCTGTAATCAACGTGTTGTGTAATGTGCGCAATTTTGTTTTATCGCCGGTTATAATAATAATAATAATAAGAATAATAATGCTGAAACGGGGTCTCTGCAATTTATACTATTCTGCGGTTCCGCGTTCTACGGAAATTAAACAATGTGCCAAAAGTATGAATTATTATTGTAATATTAATATTAGCATAGCGCTGCACAATCGTATTGCAACGGATTTGTTATCTCGCGAAAAAAACCTAAAATGACGCCTCTGTCTTAGCGCACGTTTACTGAACATTTGTACGGCCGATTTGGCGGTCAATAATTTTATACAGTTTTACCGCACCGTTCGATCGGAGTCGACGCGACTGAATTCGCCGCTTTCCCACCAATATGCTAATATTAATATTACAATAATAATTTATACTTACGGCATATTGTTTCGTTTCCGTAGAACGCGGAACCGCAGAATAGTATAAATTATAGTCTTGCTTTTGTACAATGATTTACGCATGTCATATTTAGTAAAATAAATATCTATTCAAATAATAAATACAATATGAATTGCATAGTAACAGTGGCGGCTCGTTTATACGTGCACAGGCGCACGTGCACTACCTACCCGAACTCAAGAAAAATTGTAAACATAAATCATAATAATACAACTAACTACTAAGTACCTGTAGTATTATTAGGATTATTTTTCAAAATATAAAATTATAAATTCGGAATATTATGAAAATAATATAATATTTGGTTTGCGTTGTTTCGATTGCCAAACAGCCGGACTGTTGTCCGCGACCGAACAGTATCGGTGTGTATTACAGTGGTGGGAATATGATGTTTAAATGGCGACTCCAAGACAGCCCGGCATGCGACTGCGGCAACGATAGACAAACCATAAATCACGTTATAAAGGAATGCCAGCTAAGGATATTCAACCGCGGCATCGAAGGAATCCACGTGATAACACCGAAGCAGGAAAGTGGATAAGGGAACTGGACGTACACCTGTAAACTGTTACGCGTTGTTATGTTATATTGTTATATTATATTAAATATTCATAAAACCTTAACCTTTTCAATCTAAATTAAATTAAATTATGCTTTACGTTTATATTTTATTTTTACTGTTTAATTTCGCTGTAAATGATTTGTTAAGCCATACGAATAAATAAATAAATAGTGGTGGGAGTTGTGCACATTTGTACAGTGTAAAAATTAAAACTAGCCGAAACACGCAACCCGCGTTATAATGGAATTGGTGTGCACATTTGTTTCTGTGCACAAAACCAATTAAATTGTTATCAGCGAATTATTTTCGACGTCGCCGTGTCGTTGCGCGTCGACATCCGCATTATAGTTTAATTTTACTCTCATTCATTTATTATATTCCGATTATCAGCTGATAATATTGGCTAGTCAATCATTATCGGAAATTCAAAACAACAATCGTGTTTCTGTTTTCTATCGACGACAGACATTACGTTTATTATTATTCGTGTATTTGTTTTCAATTTTTAAAATGAACTCGGTACAGAAAATACTGCAATGCAATTTTTCAACAATCTTGTTGGAGAAAAAGATGGAAATAAAAAATAAAGGTAGGCCTACTCCAGACTTAAATATTAAACAAATTACTAAATGTAAAACGAGAGAATATGTAAGAAAATTTAATAATAATATANGTTCCGATTATCAGCCGATAATAATGGCTAGTCAATCATTATCGGAAATTCAAAACAACAATCGTGTTTCTGTTTTCTATCGACGACCGACATTACGTTTATTATTATTCGTGTATTTGTGTTCAATTTTTAAAATGAACCCAGTACAGAAAATACTGCAATGCAATTTTTCAACAATCTCGTTGGAGAAAAAGATGGAAATAAAAAATAAAGGTGGCCTACTCCACACTTAAATATTAAACAAATTACTAAATGTAAAACGAGAGAGCATGTAAGAAAATTTAATAATAATATATATAAAACCTATGACTGGATTCGTGGTTGTTCAGAAACTAATCGTTTGTATTGTTTTCCCTGTTTACTTTTTGGTCAAAAATTGAATGATGTCGCTTGGGTAAAGAGTGGAATAAACGATTTAATTAATTTAACTTCTAAAATCAAAACACACGAAAAATCAATGACACACATAAATCTAAAACTATTAGGAAAACAAGACATAAGACAACAACTTTCTAGTGCGTATCGGTTAAATATCAAACAATACAATGAAAAAATAAGTCATAATCGTTATATATTGAATAAAATAATAAATTGTATTAAATTTTGTGGAGCATTTGAACTTGCACTCAGAGGTCACGATGAAAAATCAAATTCAGAAAATCCCGGCGTATTTCGAGGTCTTATAAACTTTAGTTCAGAGTTAGATTCGGTACTAAAATGTCATATTGAGAACTCTTCGGTATTTAAAGGTTTATCCAAATCAATCCAAAATGATTTACTAGAATGTTGTTTAGCTGTATGTCAACAAAGAATTAAAAATGAAATAAAACGAGCAGAATATATTTCTGTAATGGCTGATGAAACAACTGACGTATCTGCTCAGTTTCAATTGTCAATAATATTTAGATATTTACTATCGGATGGAACACCAGTAGAAAGGTTTTGGGGATTTTTCAATCCTACTGGACATGATGCGAAATCGTTGTCTGAATGTATAATATTCAACTTGGAAAAAGTCCTAGAATCGCCAAATATGTTGATTTGTCAGAGTTACGACGGCGCAAATGTGATGAGTGAACGTCTCAATGGTGTACAAAAAATAATAAATAATAGTTATAAAAATTCACATTTCATACATTTCTATGCTCATCAGCTTAATTTAGTTTTAATTCAAGCAACTTCACAAAATCGTGAGATAAGGANAGAAATTGAATCAACATTTAATCAAACCATAGCAATTAATCAAGCTGGAGCTTTGAATCGGATGTTAAATGATGATAAATTTATATTTTGGTTAAGAGTGTTTCATTCTTTAATGCCTCATGTTGATATTTTATATAATCAACTACAAAAACAAACTATGGATCCTGTAGAACTTTCAAAGGCAATTTTTCGGTTCGAAGAAAATATATTAAAAGAAAGACAGAATATTGATAACATCGTTGAAACCTCTCAAAATCACCCAACAAAAAAACGAAGACAAGATGATACTATTGAAACAAGAAAAATCGCTACAAAAGAAGTATGTGATATTTTTATTGTCAACGTTAAAGAACGTTTTGATTATAAAAATCACTTAAATGCTTCGCACCTATTTTTATCCACCAAATTTCCTATGTACGAAAATAACTTCCCAAATGACCATTTTAGTAAAACCGTTGAAGCATATCCTTTTTTGGATGTTATTAAACTTAAAACTGAACTACAACTGTTCTACAAAAGAACCGATTTTCGTGATATGAATTCATCAGTTCATTTATTGAAATTTATAATTGAAAATAATTTAACACTGGTATTTTCTGAAAGCTACAAACTTTTAAAAATAATTTCAACTGTTCCAATGACTACAGCTGAAGCCGAGAAATCGTTTTCTACAGTGAAACGTATTAAAACATTTTTGAGAAATTCAATGACGGAAGATCGACTTACAGCACTAGCAATGTTATCGATCAAAAAACGGATGATCAACAATATTTCAAACTTCAACGAAGAAGTAATAAACAGGTTTGCAGAAAAAAAGATAGAAGAATCGATTTAACATATAAACATGTACCTGAAATATAATAATTTAATACAAATAATTATAGAATTTTTACTTGTATATGTATTATGTATTATTATTTGTATTAGTATTATTTATTTTTATTATTATTATGTATTTACTATTGTTATGTGGGTAAAAATATAAACAAAATAAAAGGTAATTGGTAAATAACTAAAGTTTGTAAACAATTATTTAATACAATTTATAATATATTATGTTTAATATTGGTTGTATTTTTATTTTTTTTTTTGGGTGTGCACTATTTCATTAAAAACCCACGAGCCGCCACTGCATAGTAAATACATATTATTTCGTGTAGGTAATAAAAATATATTTTTCCTGTATTATACTATTTCATATTTTTTATAGATCTATAATAGTCATTACGAATATTTTTAACTGAATTATAATAAAAACATTATTTTCGTAAATTATACCGTTTTTTCGGGTTTTCCAAATCATTATTGCTTGGAGAAACAAAAAAAATGATCCTCCTAAAGTACCGTGTAGAAAAAATTTTTTTTCAGAAAAGGTGTTACAATTGATACAGTGGAGCAAGATTTCTGATAGAAAAGTTTGCACAACAAATCGAAGAGTATTTTTTGATTATAATAGTCGATTTTCGTCAAAATTTGATATTAAAATTCCTTTACAAAAAAATTACTATGTTAAGCTTTTTTTTTTTTATCATAAAGTACAACTTTTATTGATGCTCCTAAAGAAGTAATTTTTTGATTTTCGACGCCATTTTTTAAACAAAAGCACTAATATGGGAAAAAACGTAGGAAAACATACAATTTCATGGTTTCATTATTTTATAAAAACACGGACGTTTTGTACAAAAAAAAAAAAAAAATGATTTAATTGAAAAGCCCACAAAATAACTGTTTTGTTGCTTTTTTGATTTACTGTCATAGGGTATTATTGCCAAAACTTTTGAGCCATTTAAGAGCTTTTAAGGAATTTCAATTTTTGGGAGTTTTTTGTTGCAATTCGGTTATAAATACACGTAGACTTGAAACTTGGTAATAAAACTTATATTGGACTTCGACGTAGTCAAATTTTTAGAATCATCAGACTTTTTTTTTTTTGAAATTAAATTTAAATGCAAAAATTAAATATTACCGAACTACGCTCAGAATCGTCTTTTTTTAGTCAATGGTTTATTGTTGCTTACAGATACAAATGAAATAACCTTATGTATCCTACCTTCCTAACTTCTCATCTACAACTTCTATCCCCAGTGTCAGTTCTTTTTTTTTATATTAGTAATACAATTTGAAATGTATATATTGTACAGATATTTTATGTTTTATAATTAAATTGTTCATAATATTTTATTTAACTTTTAAAATATTGTTTAACTATATTTTATAACCTTATAGTTTATTTATAATTATTTATTATGCTATGCAATTTAATCATGTATACCTACTATATCTCCCTACATCACTACAAGCTTTGCTTAAATTTAAGGTATTTTTTTATCATTTATTTAATACTTTGTAATTGCATTTTATAATGTATTAGTTTAATAATAAAAATGTACGAAAAAAAAAGTTCATATTTCTTTCTGAGGATTTATATAGTATAATTTTAATGCTTGAAATGAATTGTATTTATATAGAATAACAAACAGTAAACTAAATGATGTACTTTAAATACAAAATAATAAACTAATTTGAAGGAGGTACAATTTTGGCTATGCCACTGACTTTGATATTGTCATTTCTTTTAGCATGAACATGAGTCTGGGGAGGACTACTCGAGAAAAAAAACAAATCAGAAAAATATTAACTTTTTAGCACATGTCGCACAATTTATTTTTATCAGGCAATGTTTACAACAAAATATTATAATATTAGTTTAAATGTTTTCCAGTGGAAAATTACACACAATTCAAAACACTATAATACGAGTATATAGAAACAAACTCATCAAAACAAGTGATTATTTTTAGGAAAAATCTCCAAAGAGTTTTCTCTCTCTTTCTCTCTTGTTTATTTTTTTCGCATTTAAACGAAAATTATATATTTATCTAATCATTATAATAATAATAGTAATACTTAAAAAAATTAAAAAAAATACTGCACATTTATCGAAAAATAAATAACACGAGATGTATATAATATAAAACGTACACACATATATAATAATAATATATGTATAGATTTACTTACGCGGAACACGTAAATATTAAAACTACACATATAATAATAATATTAGTAAAATGGGTACAATATTTGAACGGAAGACCGAAACTTTATGAGTTATACGTTTGCTAGACGATCAAAATAATTATCAGACCACAGATATTCTTAGTGTTTATATTATACATATCTATGGAAAAAAAACTAAGACCAAAATTTACGTTGATAAGTACTTAGGTATCATAAAGATGTATACTATACACATACTATTATTACACACATCACAAGAAATAATTTAAAAAAATATATATACCTATATGGAGACATAATATACGTCTGAAGAATAAAAAATAATTGATTTATATATATAAAAAAAAAAAAAAATAAACAAAATATAATTTATATAGTTTTAATTTTTGCTCGCTAATTCCAAAGAAGGTCGCAACGTGAGGCAACCCTCTACCCAAAAGTTTGGCCTGTCCAGCATCCTTTGCCATAATGCTATTTCTTTTTCGTTGGAATCCATCCATTCGACTGGTTTACCGTCGCATAATCCTAAAAAAAAAAAAAGAATAATTTGTATAAATACTATATTTATATAGGTAGGTACCATTGGTATCAAATAGAGGTACATTTTAGTAACAAAAGTGTGACTGACAAGGGTACAACAGTGATATTGCAGGCGTGTAATTATAAGTTTTGAATCTATATTAAATTGACTAAATCAATTTTTGGTTTTTTTTTTTTATAATATATTCTATGCAATTGAAAACTTTACAAAATTGACATCTTTTTTCTTTCTGTGTAGTTCTTCCCTGGTATCAAAAGATGTATTAAACGAAAACGGCTTCTTTTTTTTTTTTAAATTTCGAATTTAAGTTCGGCAGGCCTCACCTCTTATTAGATTTACCTATTTGCCCTAGGTATCACTTCTACACTTACAATACGGTTGATATTTTTTTTTGGACGTGCGTTGTTTGTTGTCATTGTAGTCTGGGGGAAAATTTAATTTTGCATAGATAGTGCAATATTGTTAATTTATCGCAAGGTCAATTTTGGTGTGTAATTATCTATTGCCATGCTTTAACTATATAAATCTTATTCTCATTTTGAAGTTATCGGACGATTACTATACAAAAAAAAAAAAAATTAAATTACCAGAGCCCAACGATAAGCGGACGCCTCCCAAGAATTCGTTACTGCCCAGTCGGTCGTGGTCCCAAACGGTCAGTTCCAGACTCCTTTCAGCCAATTCCTCCGGAGATACGTCTCGGTAGGTGAGTGTTTGGTTCCAGTTCGGGTTGCATGTTTTGCGGGCTACGTTGGTCTTCTGCTTGGAATTGCGACCCTTATCTGGCAGCAGATAACTGAAAAAAAAAATAATCGAAGTTTGTGTTATAGTCATTATTGTGTAAACCGATATGAGCGTATACATATTACGAATTCAGAGCCCAATAAATTATATATATTTGTTTTTACTTCATGTCTCATGTCATTAAAGTACTATATTACGGACTGGAGGAACTATTTTAAAGGATTTTTGAGCGGACTAAGCCCACGTGATTTTCGTTAGTGGCTACGGTAAAACAATTAATGTCCAGTGTAGTGTAAAATGCACCGAGTTCGTATATTCTTCGTTTCCACCATTATCTAATAATAACACATTTGTCAATAACTCACCTTTTGCAAAACGGATCGGAAGAGCCGTTTGATTTGACCGCTTGAAGGTTCTTGGCGTCTTTCACTAGCAGAAGGAATGTGCCCTTGGTGCGTTTCTTGGAATTGGGGTCGGCAGGAACGCACTTCAAACCAACGATTATTTCACCTTTGTTACTGATACACATATCTTCCAAAGGTTCGGTCTATAAATGTACAGATTCGCAATGTCGTGATTAAAATATGCCGATTATTTTCAGTTTTTATAGTTGTGTACTTACTCGTTCCTGAAGTGGATAGAATTTCGGTGAAGGATCGTCAAATATTTTATTTTCCAAAGGCAGTCGAACTTCACCCAAGAAATTGTTTCGCCCGAACATATCCGAGTGCCACACGCTCAACCACAGGGTCCTGTTGTTGAGCTCTTCCAGGGGAACGCTGTATTTGAGCACTTCGTCAAATATCGGATTCATCGTGTGCTTTTTTACCCGGGTCTTTCTCTTGCCAGCCTTTGACTTATCGGGCAACAAGTATACTTTTACATAGCTAACCAGAAAACACAGAAGATAACAAATAAATAAAGTATTTAATTGACAAATTAAAATAAAAGTGTTTTAACGGGTGCGAAAATAAAACCTGAGTAGGTACCTAATTAAGTAATACGGTAATATGCATTATGAGTATTACGGAAAAACATAAATATAAACATACAACAAATGTATGAACGAAAATACGTAACAAGTACAATTCCGAAAGTAACTTCTCAAGGGGTTTCTTGTTCGAAATATTTTTGCTGGCACTCATTTGTCGATGTTAGAGCGCATCGCTCCTTATATTTAAAAGTCGAAAATACCGAATCATTTCAATGAAAATGAGCCTGCTGCTCGTGTCGTGGCTTGTAAAATTTATAATCTATTGATTATAATATCGTATAGCACTTGATATTATAATACGCGTGTTGCGTATACCGACCGATTTGTTACCAAAACGGCTTTGTCATCGTATATTTCCCGGTGTAATACGAACGACACTTGCAGCTATTGTTTCGCAGATGATTTTTAATTGTATATAATTGCGAAACGATTTGGCGTATTATAATGCTAATATAATATGCTTACGGGTCGGATCTGTTACGCTTGGAGTCTGCAGCTGCCAGATCGCGACAGTGTTTGATGTTTATTTCGAACT